ATTAACGCCATTGTGCAATACTCGCAGCGACAATAAAGCCGACGGCCGAATGACAGCGCGGAGAGAATGCCATGTGAATGCGCAAAGCAGAGAGGGGAAGGGGCCTCTGGTTAAACAAAAAAACAGAACTTTCCACGGCTGTTCCAGGTTTGTTTGGCCCCGCGAGAGACTTGCGAATGAATGCGTGCGAGGGTCTGGCTGTGCGCTTGTGAAAAAGGCATTCCCGGGAAGGGCTGAATGACAACAGCCGCGTATCCTGCACGCCCTACACCCGACAAACCTGCAACACGCATATCCCAATCGCCACAGACCTTCTTCAGAATGATACATGCGCACACGCACACGTGCACAATAGGCCACACCAGCTGGATTAAAAACATTAATGCGAGTCCTTGTGTTAAGAGTACTGCAGACTAAAAGTGCACCCGATTCATATCGATTCTGAAGCTGATGATGCCAGTGTAGAATCACGGACGTAAGCATCAATGTGGCGATTCATACGCCATCAACAAAGCAAAATTCTACCGTTGTACTAGACTAAGCTCCTAACGTGTACGCCCACCGCCTTTGCCAATCCACGCTGTCCAGGGTGGTGAAGCTTGTTAAAATGACCCCGAAAACTTGCAGAGCAGGGGAGGGCCGCCATTCCATCCAGCAGTGGTTTACAAAATGGCTGTGCCTACCGGTTACCCTTCCTTGCCTTCTCAAGCACATGTTTAAAATCAAGGCCGTGTGGTTGCTCGACGTCGACAGCAGAACAGATACAGACAAAGGTCCCCCGTATAGCCTTAGCAGCCTGTTAGGGAAAGTGCTGTTAATGAGCACCTATGAAGGCCGGCACGGCACACAAGGGGGTGGGTGGCCAACACCACACTCAGCCGCCTTTGCCTCCCCAGTGGCGCTGTTTACACATCTCACCAGGTACCCGTTTGAGGCCGAGTCGACCGAGGGGAGGCCCAGGTCCGGTTCAGATAATCGTCACAGGTGTTGGCCGTGAGCAGGAATTGGGTCGCCAGGTTCGTAGCGCAGCGCGCTAACCACTAAGCTACTGCTCCCCAAAGATAGAGACGTACACATACACGCGGAGGGCACGCACGGCAACCAGACAACACATAAATGAGCACGCCGATCAATATTGAATGTTCAATATCCCCACACAACACACCCAACAATTACCCCCTCCCTCCCACCGCATTGTCTGTCACACAATACAAACAGTGACACAATCGTTCCTCGCCACATGTCAACGCCCCCTTCTCCCGCGTGCTCAGACTCCAGATAGCTACACCACCGGGCTCCGTGCGAGCGAGCGATCATTCCGGCGTCGTGAACCTCCCGCGGCGAGCCCCGACGCGGGCCACCGCAGTCACCGCTCCACTTCTCTGGCCGCCAGTTCGCCCCGTGGCATAACCAGGCAGGGGAATCGTCGCGTGGACCTGGTTGACGGCCCCGCGGCCGCCCCCGGGGACACGGGGAGTGGCTGCGGAGATGTGGGCGGTGCACCGCGCTGCCTGTGACCCCGCATTGCACCTGCCCCGCCGCACACCTGTCGTGAGCGTCGCAGGCCCTGCCTGGCGGCGCACGCACGCGGCAGTCTTCCAGTGTGTCAATGGGTTTTTGTGTCAGCGAGTCAGTGTGTTAGTCTATTTGTGTGTCAGCGCGTTTGTGTGTCAGTGTGTCCCGTTCTCAGCACCACCACACTGTGGCCCTCGACCTTCAGGGACCTATTCTTTGGGTCTTTCGGTAAAGTCACGTAGATTCATGACTTTACCGAAAGAATACGAATTCCTGCAGTCACGAAAGCTTTAAGTCAAGATTCTTCAGTAACCTGGTGGTGATATGGAGTTTACATGTCTCTCTCCCTGTGGTCGTGTGGATTTTTCTCCAAGTTTTTCCCTCAACATTAACAGTATTTGACTGCTATAAATTTCCACTTCATTGGGTTATCATTTGTGGCCAGGTCGCTTCTGAAAAAAAAAGAGAGCGAAATAGCTCAGTTGGTCATACCTGAAACTTGATTTTGGTGCTTTCGTGACTGCAGGAATGACTCTTTGTTTTTTTTCGGTAAAGTCACGTAGAAATTAGAAATAATAAAATTACATAATAGCATACGACGTTTCGATTGCAACACAAGCAATCATCATCAGGCACAGAAGAGCTAAATTTAAGAGAGAGAGGAAACGCATAACCGCAGACATACACACAGACACCCGTCTCTCTCTGTATCTCCTGTTGTGTCTGTGTTGATTCTCTCTGCTTGGGTGTCTGTGTGTATGTCTGCGGTTATGTGTTTCCTCTCTCTCTTAAATTTAGCTCTTCTGTACCTGATGATGATTGCTTGTGTTGCAATCAAAACGTCGTATGCTATTATGTAATTTTATTATTTCTTATTTCTATGTGACTTTACCGAAAAAAACAAAGAGTGGTCATACCTGGTTAAAAAAAAAAGTTTCGTTCTTTAGTTTAACCCCCTGACCTAACGAGGTACCCTGCGACTTTTGCCATCTACCAACGCACCAGTGGTGGTCAGCTTCCCCACCCCCATAAACTTGCTCAATTAAAAAAAACATGTTAACGTGCGTCTTTTACAACTTTTACAGAGACGTTGGTCGCTGGCCACGTGTACATGTTTGGCCTTTGGGTCTTAGTCCGGCAACTATGCAAAAAAAACAAATCTGGCAACCCACCCATACAGCTCAGCCACCACCGGGCAGTGCAACGTGTGCACAATCTCCAGAGCCACCCGACTAACGCAGCACAAACTAAACCAAACCGGGCGCGCATCCCTCCCGGCGACAACCCCCCCACCCCCGACGTGTATGGCCGTGTCGGGTGGCGGAGGGATGCGCCAGTTGTTTATTAACATTGTACCCGCACGATCGAACTCAAAGTAATAACTAATTAGCAGCAGCAGCATCGTCGTCGTCGTCATCGTCACTTGTCGGTCTGACCCATCCATCTCCCACGGCTGGCTCTAGCAGCGCGGGGTCTGGGGTTCCGCGCGACCCCCAGCTCTGGCCGTGATCGCCCTCCACCCTTTCCCAGCGCTCAACCTTTCTCAGAGCTCACCCTTTGTCAGAGATCACCCTTTGTCAGAGCTCACCCTTTGTCAGAGCTCACCCTCATGGATCATTCAGACGGAGTCCGCGCAGTTTGGAGAGTTTTCTTCACAGGGTGCCGCCACCACTTTCCCAAGCCCCTCAATGGTAACTTTGTCGGATTGTTTTGGATAGTTTGCTGGATTTCTCGATTATCGTTCTGAATACATCAAAACACACTTGCACTGACAATTGCTGCTCTTACTGTACTTGAGGGTGTTTTCTTTCAGACGAATTGGATTAAATTTGTTTTTGTTCCCACCCAGTGGGGCCCTAAAGGCTCTCAGCACAGCAGGTGGCCCCGAGCAGAGCTGCTGGGTTTGAGGCAGGGGAGGGGGTGTCGGCCCTATTGTCTGTGGCTGCTCAACGAGCGAGCCCCGCTGCCGCCGAGCACCACCAACCCCTTTAGGGCAACGGCTGTGAAAAACTCGGCGGGAAGCAGTCGTTTGGTTATTGGCACAGAGGTGCGAGTGGTGAAGGCGATGCACATTCTCGTTACTGGGTCCCCCCCCCATTTGAAAAATTCCGAATTGGCAGTGGACGCTTTCACAGAACGACGGCACCGGCGGCTCCACCGCGGCCACATTGTTGGGGTCGAGCGACATCGCATCATCTCGCGAGAGCGTACACACAGCCCTTTGTTAATCCACTGCGGGATGGATGTGTCAGTTACGTGGGTTTGTGTTTGATCATTACTTGACCACGGCTGGTCAGTGCCGGCTGGAAAAAGGGGAGACCCAGGACCGGTTCGGACACTCGCCACTGATGTGAGCCAAGGAAAGGGAATGAAACTACGGTCGTGAGGTTTATAATGCAGTGCGCGCTAACCACTGGACCGGCCACCCCACCCCAGTGTTGCTTGCTGGGGCTCTTGGTTATCGTTTTGAGAACATCAAAACATGCTTGCAAAACAAATTGCTGCTCTACTTTACTCGAGCGAGGCGTGGGTTAATTACCACCTATATCCTGGGGCCCGCTGCGCTGGACGGCAAGGTCAGGTCACATTGAACCCACAAACATCACAAGCGCATTAAAAATATTGCCTTTGCACTTGCGTGCAAAGTCTACCAACCGCAAACACAATGATCCCCCCCATTTCGCCACATGCATTATTGGGTCAAGTACTGTTGGCGAGCACCTATTGAGACCGGCACGACATACAGAGAGACAAGTGGAGCGAGCACCGTGCGAGATTGTCCGCGTCTCTGCCGTGCTGATGCTTACACAACACAGCGGGTCATCATCCAAGGCTTAGTTGACTTACACGAGGCCCAGGAACGGTTGGGTTGCTCCGTGCTACTGATGCGAATCCTCAACTGGTAATCGGACCAATGTTGCCAGATTCGCAACACTGCTAGAATTATTGCGATACCTCCCCCCCCCCCCCCACACACGCAGGTAGCACAAACACACACGTACTTTAGTTGTGTGTGCATGGTGTGTACATACCACATACATGAGTCTACACACACACACGTGAGCTGTGTGTGCGTGGAGTCTACGTACCATACACACATGCAGGCACATGTGCCACGCACGCACACATGTACCACACACTCACACATGTACAAAGACAACAATCTCCATATAGCCTTAACAGGGCAAAGTGCCATTAGCGAGTATATATGAAGGCCGGCACGGCACTAAACTATTTTTATTTTACGAGGTAAGACTCACTAAGCTTACATGGCTCTTTTTCAGAAGTGACCTGGCCACAAATGATAGTTCAACTTAGTGGCTTGTCACGTGGAAATTTATTGCAGCTAAAAACATACGAGGGGGTGGGTGGCCAGTACCATGCCTGGCCACCATGGTCTCCCTAATGGTAATGTTTACGCATCTCACCAGGTACTCATTTGAGGCCAAGTCGTACCACACACCCACAAACACGCGTGCACGTACCAGGCCTGTGCTCTGGCGGGAAGAGTCCTCCAGGGCCTGGCTCTTCAGCTTCTCCGTGATGAGCGTCACCATGGCAACGTCGCAATCCAAAACAAATGGCCCAGGCAGCAAATGGCAGTCAAATCACCTGCAAATTAAGGAAGCAGGTTTTTGTGGCGAGTCGTTACCAGCACGCCGCGCTATCACGTGCCACCAGCGCGGGCACTCCGCTAGCAAAGCGTGGACCGAAGCGCCCCACGCCACACCAAGAGAGCGGCCCCCGCTCCCTCCCTGTTATCCAGCGCCCATTGTCACTCCCGCGCCCCGTGAGTGGATTTCCACTTCAGATGAAATTTAAAAACTATTTATTTTTATTTTACCGAGCCATATAGCTCTTTTTTTCCGAAGCGCCCTGGCCACAAATGACAGCTCAACGAAGTGGCTTATAATGTGGAAATTTATCGCAGCAAAATACTCTCAATGCATGTTTTTAAATGTAGAGGGAAAAACCGCAGGCCCTGGAGAAAAAATCCACGCGATCACACTGAAAATATGTAAACTCCAAATATACTGCAGGCGTCAGGGTCGGGATCGTACCCACGACCTGCTGTATACCATGCGAGGTAGTTAACATCTCACTCCTGTCGCGCCCTTAAATATCCCCACTCACTTCCAAGTGTGTTTACCGCAAGGCTTTCCTAGATGCCAGGCGGAAGCCCCTCAGTAGAGAGAGATGTTCCGAGCGACCGCAATCAGAGTGAGCGGGGGGTCACAGTGCAGCGGCGGCCTGTGTTTGTTTTTACTGAGGGGTGCACACCCAGCACTTGGCTTCAAAATGGCCACGATATTAAGATGGATGCAAATAGGTGAGCGGGGAGAGAACGAGCGAGCAAGCTAGCGAGCGAGCGAGGGATGGAGTCCCCCTGGGACAGGCGGAGAGAGAGAGAGAGGAGACCGACACGGCAGGCGTGAGATTGGTGACGTGCGGTGCGTGATTGAATCAGAACAGCCCTGGGTAAACCGTTTCCCCCCCCCCGCCCCTCAGTTATCGTCCAGTGAAGAGTCAGGCCCGGCACGAGTGGGAAACTCAATCACGGAGAAGTTTGATTCTTTCGGTATTTCCAGGTAATGAAAGTTAAAGTTTATTTTTATTTAAGACCATCTAAATACAATTGCATCTCAAGACGATGTGCGGAAAAGTGGTGATAGTTTTTTTTCGCATCGAGAAAGTCAGCGATAGGTACAGGAAAATAGGAAGGCCTTGAGCCTGGACTTGAAGGGCAGGGATTAGACAGCATGGAGTGTTGGGGGGGGGGAGTTCCAGATATAGGGGCTGCAGAGGACGTGTTGAACAGCCAGGCCTGTGCTGCTGTCCCTACCCAGGTCTGAACATGGGGGCTTGATTGTGGAAGACATGCGTCCCACCTTCTGCAAACCTGTGGGAAGGGTGGCAAATTTCCCAGCGAAGATTTGGCGCTCAAGTTTTGCACTGCTCTGCCAAAGCTGCATAGTTTTTAAACGCCAATCGCTGTAATGGCTTGGCATGAGCCAGTTAAATCACACACACACTAATTTGCACGCTTTGCCTGTAAGCCTCACCGCTGCCACTCCTCTACTTTACACAGCCCCGCGGTAGGGAATGAAAGTCAACCCAAGCCTCCCTGCGACCTCCCCTCGCCGATAAAACCGGTCCTGGCAGGGGACGTGCAGCAGACAAGGCCAAGGCCACAGCCAAGCGAGGCCTGCCACTAGGACCTCAGCTAAACAACTGGGCAAAGGCATTTTCCAACACCGCAGCAGTTTTTATTTTTCTCTTGGGAAAAAAACCTCAATGGAAACCACCTCCCCCCCCCCCCCCGCCAAGATGGTAATGATTACGGTGAGGGACACTTGTGATGCTTTTCAGAAGCTGGTCTCTGGCACGGCACACACTCCAGCAGCTCGTGTCGCAAGCGTTTGCGGTGTCAGGACTTGACGCAGTGGCGCAGTTAGGGAAGTGTGTTGTGCTGGTAGTAGGTCAGAGGAACAAGCACGAATTATTGTTTAAGACGATGCCGGGTGACGCTTTTGGTGGCCGCTGCAGTGAGTGAGCACAGCTACCACCACCAGCATGTGCTGGCACAAAGAGCACTGCCCTGGGACAGAAGGCCTACCAGGGAAGCAGGGCCCATGTGGAGATGAGACATGACAGGGGCCCATGGAGAGATTACGAGGGGGTGGGGGGGCACGGGCAGGAGATAGGGCCCAAGGGTCAATAGAGTCACGGTGAAGCATTAATCAGGTTACACTGGCTCAGTGAGGGGGGAAGGGGCTCATGTGGCCTCGTTTTCGAGTCCATGGCCCTCGCGGCCCAAGCGGTGCAGGAGGTCAGGGATGGCTGGTCTGTAAAATCGGCTCATAACCAAACAAGGAAGCAGCAGAGACACATATGTAAATGTTACCACAGCTGTAAGAGCAAACACATGCGCGATTTTAATATTTTAAATATATTTAGTTTTAAACCGGAAATTAATAGTTTGGCCGTGCACGCTGCCAAGAACTGATGCTTGTAGTTGCATGTATTATTTTTTCTCTCTCTCAACCAGTCATTAATCAAGACTAAAGGGAGCAAGTCGGATATGCAGAGGAGGCGACGGCTTGCTCGTGGTGTCAGATGGTTGAAAGGCTGCAAAATTGCCTGGAGAATTGCCTGCAGCCCCGCCTAATTGCCTGTAAACACCTCGCAGAAGCCATGCATTATGGGGCGTAACCACGACCAACATATCTCCTCGAGCTACCAAAGCCCCAAACCCCGAAATAACACAACCAGACAACCTCACCAAGCTTGCTGGCAATACTAAAGGTTTGCCAACACAAACGCAACCTCGAAAATTAATTGGCGTGTCAAATATCAGCGGTTGCACCCCCCCCTCAACCCCCTTCTCTCTCTCGGCCATCGCTCACGCAGCCTGCCCCCCAAACCTTCTCACTGCACCCTGCACCCAGGGCCCCCCACCACCACCGCTCCACCACCCCCATCGCTCCCGAGGGATGGTGATGATGATGATGGACCCGACTGACTGGGCCTCCACACGAACTCTCCAGGCATCGCAGATTCAGTTTTGGCTGCCAATTAGGGCACCGCGATAATTAGGAGAGAGCGCAAGTGGCCAATGGAAAATGTAAACTGGGTCGACCGCCAAACGCGGAAAGGTGGATGGGTGTGCATCCTCCTCACCCGGCGCTGCGTCCACCCTCCACCACCCCGGGACTCTGTCCAATGCGCTCCACCGATACACAAACCCCTCGTCACTTGGATCCCCCTTACACCTCGTCACCACCCACTCAGCCCGTCTAAACCTCGTCTCGCACGCTCCGTTCGCCTCTCGGCACGCCGTGTGTCGTCCCCCCCCCCTCCACTTCCCCACCTCGTCACGCACCATGCAAGTATTTATACTGTACTCGACTCGTCACCCGGTTACCTCATCAGCGGCTACTGTATTATCGCCACCTCGTCACGCAAGTCCCTCTCTATATATACACACACCATGTCACCCGTCTCCACGTCCTCGCTTCTCACGCACGTCCCAATGTCCACCTCATCAGCGGACATCACCTCACCCCTCGTCACGCGAGCCCTGTCCGCACCTCGTCACTTGCCCCCCCCCCCCACCCCCCCCGCCCCCTCTGTCGCCGCCACGGCCGCGGGACTCGCTACAACAAAGGGACCTCAGTTCGGGCTGGTGGGGGGGGGGGGTCCTGCTGGCGAGGCCACTCGGGAGGCCCAGGGTGGAGGCCCGAGCACGCGGCCCGAGCACGCGGCCCGAGCACGCGAGTCGAGACCCCGCGAGTCGGCCTGCCTCCCTCCCTCCCTCCTCCCCCCGCCGCCCCCTGCCTGCCTGCCTCCCCCACTCCCGATCTATCTGCCTGCCCCCTCACTGGATCTGTCCACGGGGCCCCGACCGCAGCTCGAGACACGGACAGCCGTGGACGTGTTGCGTCTGCCCGACTCGCCCGGGTAACGCGGTTGCACGGGGGAGGAGTGGCCCCGTACGTACGCGTCCATGGCCACCGCCGCCGATGTTGCTGCTGCCGCTGTCCCCGTGGCGACCGCCGCGATCTCACTGCGAGAGCGCGTGGGGCCGCCTCCTTTATAGGCGGACTCTACCACCCGCGCCCAATTCTGGTGGGGGAGAATTGGTCTGGGTTAAAACTAAATTCGCTCCACTTATGCGACGGTGACCTTAAATGTTTTATTAGAATGTTTGGAAAAATATTTATTAACTCTATTTCATGATACGTGATGGTCGTGCCGTAGTGACCCGCGTGAGAGTGATCGAGGCGAGTGATCGAGACACCCTCCAAATCCGGAGAGTGGCACAGTCTGGACGACATCAGTGTTCAGTGTTCGGGGAAATTGCAAATTCAGAGTCCCGGGCCCAGACCCAGCAGAGTTATTGGCTTCGTTAATAGTTTAAGCTTCCCACGAGGGCGACTCCTCTAAACGAGGGCACGGATTTACTTGGAGAACCGCTGTCGCCGAACGGGCTGCTTGGCGTGATGTCCCTCGTCGAGCTGCCACAACCCGAACGGAACGACGCGCAGCGACAGCTGCCCACGTGCGTGCGCACTCAGCCCTGCGCTAGGAACACGTGCACTCACTTGCCAGGACAAAACCTCGGTCTCTCCGAGCAACCCACGGGGCCACACACAGCGCGGCCTGGTTACTGCTGCTTCCTTCGGAGTTTTTGTTGTCATTCTCGTCGTCATGTTTGTTGCACGACAAGGTTAAGCCGAGGTCCGGCGCTGCCACCTCGCGGCCTCAACAGCCACACGCGGCCCTTCGGTCCGCGTGAGCACAGTCCGCGTTCGGGGCAGGCGGAGATTGCTGGCGCTATTTAGCCACGCGATTCCAAGACTTTCCCGTCTGCTGCTAATCCCTGGGACGATGTTCATCCAGCAAGCGGCGGTCACCTCAAACGGATCACCGCGTCCACCACCGCTTATACAGATGGGAGGGGGTGGGGGGCTCACGACATCCCCGCTTATCGAAGTGGCCGTCTCATTGTAAATAATGCACGCTTGCATCGTCACACCCCTGTCTGCAAAACGCCAGCAGGGCCAAGTCGGGGAGAGAGTCGGTTAGGACGGGCCGCTCCCAAGAGGCGAGGCCTGTCATGCAACCACAACAACCAGATGCTCAAAGAGATTCGTACGCGTTCTCTTCATGTTTTTTTGTTTGTTGCGGTTGCACCCGATTCAAGAGCCGAATGGCTCACAGGGCTATACCAAATAAATGGAACTATGAACTCTTACAACCGCCAAAGCGCTGCACATCAGAAAATTATGATTTCACGTACGACCCAGACACTACTATTTGATGTAACGCAGTGTGTGCTTGGGCGGTACACTTGAAACGGTGTTCGGTGGTCGTGACCAACACTGGTGGCGTCGGTGAGAGGATGTCCACGGTGCAGAGGGAGCGATTGAATCGGCTCCCGTGCAGGAACGAGTTACTAGATGGATCTTAGGACCGTGAGTGAAGGCAGCGGCTTGGGGAGGCTTTCATCCAGCAGTGGATTGAACACGGCTGATGCTAGATTGTAGGTGCAGCATTGTGGTTGGTGTGCGAATGGGTGAGTTCTGGAGCATGAGAAACTGCACTCATCCAAAAGGTCACTCCACACCCATCCACACCAACAGGGTCGCCCTGACAAGTGAAAATATGCGAAACATTTACTCAGGACTCCCATTGCATAAAATACAAAAAATACCCAAGGGATCATAGTGTCCTGGATAAAGACTTTGTATCTACAATTCAAACATTTATAATAAAAGGTTTATGTCGTAGAAAGTAAACAACATATACATTTAACAAAGCATAGATTAGTTTACAATGTGTCCTTTACAATGTATAGATGCATCAATATATGACAAGAAATTGCAGATATCAAGTCATTTCTGTCATCAGCCAAACGCTTCTGAGAACATGGCTTCATTACATCTGAACCTACGTGTAGCAGCATTCTCCAAACACCCGTGACTCACTGCATGTAAGTGGGGAAATGCACACAATCGCAATGAAAAACAGTACAAGCAGGGCTTCATTTCAGCTGGGTATGCCCACGAAATATATCCACTCCCGGCACACCACATCCATTATGCTGCTCACTATGGCTGTGGCTACGAGTCACGTGCCTACTCTACCCAGAATATATGCGGTCAGAAATTAAGCCCTGAGAACATGGCTTCATTACATGTGGACCCCAGCGAAGCAGCATTCCCCAAACGTCTATTACTCATATTGCATGCAGGCTGCAGAGGGTGCTCGTTCACACAGCACACAGCGCAAGTCCGTGCGATGGAGACTCCTCTGCTGAAGGAACGCTGGCACCGAAACCCCATGCCTTTCATTGCTCCGGTTCTCTGGTCAAGCAGGGCAGCTGTGGCAAGCGCCACCGCCTGACCCCACCGTGCAGCCTCAAGGCCAGCCACACCTCCTGCCGAAACACGTCCGTCTCGCCCGGCGGGGGCGAGGTGGTCCTGTCCGGCACGATCCCGTCCTCGGTCACGGAAACGCGGTTCCCGTCTGGCGGCCCGGCGTCCGACGTCGCGTGCCCGCGGGCCTTGGCGGTGCCGTCGTCGTCGCGTCGGTCTGCGACCGGGCGGCAGCGTTCCGTGTCCACGCTGGCGGACGGGAAGCAATTCTCTCCCTCCCCACCTGGTGCCGTGGCGTTGCTGGTGCCGTAATCGTGAGCCTTCCCCTGCCTTGGAGGGGGGGGCGGGAACGGCTTCACACTCTCCACCGACTCGCCGGGGTCCTGGGGCTCCCCGACTGGGAGCACCTTGGAGCTGATGCATGGGAAGTCCAGGCTCTCGAGGCTGTGGTAACTGCTGACCTCCGACCCCCTGCTGCACAAGCTGCCTGCGAGAAGGGTGCAATGTCGGGCTGAAAACCAACCTCTCCTTTTAATAAACCGCACTGTAAAGAGTCAACGTTTTATGAAAATGTTTCAAAACTCTGCAGGTGTAGAAAAAAAAACCAGTCAACTCTCATAATCCACGACATAGGAGAGGAGTAATACAAAAGCACTATAATGAAAAAAACATACGCAAATGAGGCTGTTGCTTCCAAGGCAGAGTGGGGAAGAAGACAGCATGGTTTGTTTTTATTTCTTCTTAAAATATCTAATTTCTTGCCGATGTGTTTGTGATTGCGTGAGTCACCGATCCTTGGAAAGTGAGCAGCTCATAATGAAAGCAGGGCGTGTAAGGACGTTTTATTTTTAAAAATGTGCAAGCAAGTTTAATCCACAACTCGGTTAATCTGCACACAGCCGATTGAAATGTAATGTGAACTCATTTATAAGGCGCAGTCTGTATCATTTAAAATAAAATGGCCAAGGAGGGTCCTGAGTAGGTCTACGTGCAAACACAACCGCGCTCGCGCCGGGATACCGCACAGCGGTGCAAGCCGGTGGCCTTGGTGCAAAGTTCGGTAACAGAGGCAAGCAATTACAGGAGGGGGCAGCAGGGTGCGGGAATCCAGGGCACTCACTCAGCTGGCCCCTCCCCCGCTCCAGCAGGTTGGGCGGGCGGCGGGGCTGCTTGAGCAGACAGCGCGCCGCCTCCTCCGCACGGCGGAAAACGCCGAGGCCGAGTACTCGGCGGCGTGTCTCCGGTGCCAGGGGGCACGACTCGGAGGCCAAGTAAGAGCGCAGCGCCTGGAAATCCATCTTCAGCTGAAGCCCGCCCTGCACGCTACACAAACGCATGCGTACACTGTTGGATGAGGACCTCTTCACGCCATGCAGGCAAATTAGGGTTAGTTAACCGTAACTTCACGATGGTCAATGTGGGTTGATGATGGTGCGGGCAGTACAGAATAATGGATATTTTTGCACTAACCTCTGTTGCCAACGTCTACAACACCAGATTATTTGCAGAGGCGTCACCCATCCAAGAACGATCTAGGATAAACTCTGCTTAGCTTGCGGGTTGTAATGAGATTGGGTGCACTGCGGATTATATGGCCATAGGCACACGGCACACACACTCAAGAAATGGTGCCAAGGATTGAGTGACAACTTGAGAGTTGAGCGGCAGCTGAAAACACTGGCTCATTGCCGACATGCGAAGGACGTAGCCGACTTAACCCATCCACCTTGTTTGTGTCAGTGCTAACTCGCGCAGTGCAAATCATTAGCGCCTACAGCCCCCTCTCATATTTTACTATTATTTTCACAAGCACGGTTCATCCACAGCCCGGATAATCTGCGTACGGATAATTAACAGCTGACTGTACTCCCATTCATAATGCGCATCCTTGTCTGTATCATAGGAACAGAATGATCGGTGAGTGCAGCACGAATTACTCAACAAGTAAACGCAAGCACGTCCACATGCTCCAGTCACCTGAACACGACCTTTTTGTGCACAATGTGCTCCATCCACGCGAGCATCAGGGCGGAGCACACCTGGGCTGCGGGCTCCACTTGGCAGTGCGTGTCCAGCGGAGCGAGCGCCTCCATCACGGGCTGCACCACCGTGGCCACTGCCACCAGCGCGTACTCGTTCGGCTCCGTGGGGCGTGCCGCTGTGAGGGACAGGAGGGGAGGGCAGGGTGATGGCGTGAACCGGTGCGGCGACACCACGTGTGGTGATGCAGTGGCGTAGATCCGACTGTGCAGGCGATGCACCTGCACCAGGACCCACGGACCGCAGGGGTTCGGACACCGGGCTAAGAAGAGAAGGAGTAAATTGGACAGGGGGCCCCTATTTAATTTGTTGCACCAGGCCCCATGGGAACCACGCTCAGCCACGAGCGATGATGTAACCGCTCATTTTAAGATCCGTGTAAAATTTCCCATTTCACGTTTGCATTGTGCCACGTAATGTCTTTCTCTGCACTTCATCTTCAAACAATTTAATAACTCTTTGTAACGTTTTATATCATTCATTTATTTTATTACAATTTAATTGGAAATTAACATTTTTAGTATTTGAAGTAAAGCATTACTCTGGTGTGCAACATTTACTGTATAAATTTGCGGCTGGTTTTGTGAATTTTACAAACAATTTAAATATCCATACCATCTTGCCAATACCCCTTTGGAAATGGGATGTGTATCTCACGGGTTTATCCTGGTTATAATAAAGTAGATCACGAATATTACTATTATCCTCTGACTAAATCACGCAGAATGTGCCTTAACTCATTAGATCTCAGACGCTAAGCAGATTTCAGACAGGTCAGTGGGGCGGCACTGTGCTGAGATGTTAACTCCCTTGCTTCGTATGCAGGAGGTCATGGGTTCGATCCCAACCGTGATGCTTTGTATATTTGGAGTTTTCATGTCTCTCCCCTCGTGGTCGTGTGAATTTTAGAACATGGGATTTGGCTGCTATAACATTCCATGTTATAAGAAACTTCGTTGAGCTATCATTTGTGACCGGGTCGCTTTTGAAAAAGAGCTACATAGGTCAGTGGACCTTACCTGGTAATTTTTTTTTTAGCTTGGATAGCAACGACCAAGCACAAGACGGGCTTGTAGGCTGCTGTTGCAGGCCTAAGTTGTAAGCCAAGGGCAGTGCAACAGAATCCTTTGTTGTACTGTACCATGCTACAATGTCTATGTGCCCCACCTTCACCAACCTGCGTGGTGAAGTATGACCAAATAACTCTTGATCTTGGTGACGTAAAAAGGCCCTCATCGAGCAGCGGATTGACAAAAGGGATGCACGTATATGTTACTATTCATATTCACCCTCTGAACCAATAATCTCACCAATAAGCTCACCAATTAGCTCACCAATATCTCCCGAGGTTAATTACTGCAATTAAAGTAAAGGCAAGTCGAGAGGGGATGCCAGGAGGAGACCTCTCACCAAGCTCCTTGGCTTGCCGCCATTGCTTGCCAAGGGGCATGGTCTGCTCCAGTGTCTCCTGCGCCATCTTTTTGCAGTCACTCGCAAACAGCCGCAGGGTCTCCTCCGAAAGGGCCTGCGAGGGACGCAGTGAGAATCCACGATGAGTGAAAAACACACGACAGCTTCCTGTGTGCGTACATACGTACGTACGTGCGTGCGATGCCAGGGAGACAATCGGTAGCGCGGTGGTTAGTGGCACGGCGTTAAAAAAAACCTGCCTCCACGGATAATGAGTGCCACATGACACCTGAATTGGTCCTCGACTTCCCCTAGGTCAGGGGTCGGCAACCAAAATAACATGGAGACATTTTTTCGAATTTGGTAAAAAAACTCAATATTTCAAGAGCCGCAGTGCATGCGTGTGAACACAAGACGGTGGTCCTTAATAAATAACATCACAAAGCGGTCCTGAAAGGGCCGTATGCACCTCCGGAGCCGCAGGTTCCAACTCCTGCCCTAGGTAGACGCAGCCTTACCCGGGTACCTGGAAAACATCAGCACTGGGGAGACAAAGGTGGCCAGGTGTGGCGCTGGCCACGCTACACTGGAGCGTTGTGCCGGCCTTCACGGATGCTCGCTGACAGCACTTTCCACAACGGCCTGCAAAAGGCTACACAGGAGATCTTTGTCTGTTTTTGTTATGACGGGCAAGGCATCTCACCTGCAGCTGCAAGGCTGTGTTTTCCAGCAGAGTGAGCGCATTGCGTGCATCACGTTGCCGCCCATCGCTCCCCGCACTCACGGAAGCGGCTTTAGCCAGCAACAAAAATGCTGAACTCGCTTCCAAGAAAACCTGACATTCAATAAAAAGAAAGCTTCTGTAAGCACCACAAACCAACCACAAATCATATTTTATGCAAACAGAAAACAAGTGTTCATAATGCACTGTACTTTGGCAAATTGCCTTCAAACATCAGCGCCACACGGGTAAAACGCTGATGAGCGGGCGTGCACAGTTGAGCACTCACTCGGAGATCTCCTTGCGTCACCAGGAAGACCTCCTCCAGGGACCACGACGCCAAGAAGTGGAAGCTTTTAGTCGACAGCCAATGGAACGCAGCCTGCAGGGTGGCCAAGCCTCGCTCAATAGCGCACAGTGCGATCGGGCCGTTCGCAGACGGCAACAATGTGGTTCCATCACAGCTAGCTACAAACAACAGAAATAAAAGACAATGCTTTTGTTACAACTGTCTTTTCTGATTGGAATGATCTTGGTGTGTGTGTACCAGGCAACGCCAGGCCACAGTGCCATTGTCTGCTGTGTTGAGTGCTCTCAGTCCCTCCTCCTCCTCCAGTGTGCCACATGTTCTGCCTCTGTCCACATTTACAGTCAGGGATATCTCAAATACCCCTACCTGGCCTTAGTGGCCACACAACAACCGTGTGCAGTGTCTCTAAAAATTGTAATTCTGCGTCTGAAGAGCAAACCGATAAAATAACTGCGAGGCTTGCAAAGTTCGGAACATCAGAACATTAGAACATTAGAAAGGTTACTAACGAGAGGGGACCATTTGCTCCATCTAGATCGTTAGGGTAGGAAACCACAGATGCTGGAAGACAGCCAGTTGATCAATGTACCCAGCAAGGACTGCAGTGGAAGCAGAGACTGGTGGAAGAGGCGAGCAGTCGTGGTCATGCAGGCACCCTCGTCGGCGCACGGGGCGCAGCGGTCTCGCCACGCCGAGCTCAGCGCTTGGCAAAACACTGCAATCAATCCAGACATGCCAATAGTTAGTCACTTAGCGCCCGCATCTCAATGACATTAATCACGCGTCCGGACCGTGAGTGGTAAATCTGCGGTTGTTGGGCAAGACGCTTTGCTCTTCAACTCGCCATCCATCATGATAAGCCGCAACTCTGGACGGACGGACGGGCGGGCGGGGAGGGGAGGGAGGTCTGTGTGGGCGACGGAGGGGAATGGTGGGGGTGGGCGGGGAATGGGGGCGACAGTCACCTGCATCCCAGCTCCTCATGACCAGCCACGCGTGCAGATGCGAGGATGCAGCCCGCACCTGCTGCTGGCACTCCAGAGGCAGGCACTCTGCACGGAAGGACAGCGACTCTCGTAAGTTGCCTCTCGGAACGAGCGAGGGAAACGCACGGTTGTCAACAGCTCACAGTTTGTTGAACGGCATAACAAACTTTTTTTTAATGCAGCCAACTCTCGGTTATACGGTGTAAAACCCAAACACGGATGATGCAAAATACATGTAAATCGGGCTGTAAAAAGGGTATTTACAGCGAACCTTTGTAGAATGTGGGTGAATATGTAGAATGTATCAACTGTTTTTATTGGCTTTTTAAAGTTATCGGTTTATTTGCCAAAGCATTTTGTAGTCGCATGGTCACCGAGTCACTTCTTCTTAAAGCGCATGGCGAGTTTGTGTAAATCATACGTCCCAGTTGACGTTTGTCAGCTATGCGATAGCTTCTAGAGTAGCGCGACAGCGTCACTGCCCCTTGGTGAGTAAGCAGCAACTATAACAGAACCAGCGCGAGTGTGAAAAATGCGGACGAGCAAGGCTCGTTCGCGCCTGGATAACTGAGAGGACTGCATCGATTAAAAAAGAAAAAACGAAGTGTAAACACGAAGGCTTTGTGCGAACACACCTTCAGCGCCCGCCTCCCGGAGGTCTTCAACCAGTGCCATCACCACCGGGCAAGGGTGGAAACCCAAGGGTCCCAGGCCGCGATGGGCACCGCCGTCGCAGGCGTGTGTCGGTGAGAAGAGCCGTCCCAGCAGGCACGTGGACACGCCGTGCCACAACCGCTGCTCGTACCACCGCGGCCAACGCGTCGTCTCGGAGAACATTGCAGCAGGGGGGCGCGGGATCCGCGGAGTTTCACCGTCCACGCGCGACGTTTCAGCCAAACACCTGTCACTGCCTTGCTCAATGTAATCCGACAAGCGATGGCTCAGGTATGATTGACCGACGATACGAGTTTCCTGTTGTAGGACCGCATTTTCCTCGGGCAGGCTTACGTTGGATAAACAGACGGCCAGGATTTTTTTCATAAAGCCGTCCTCTGCTATGCACAGCTGCCTAAGAATGTACACAATGGATGCGATTTGTGACGAACCTGCCGCCTTGTCCTTCAATTTGTCCTTTGGAGGAGCCTGGTCGGGTGTCAGGCTTTCGTCAGTGGAGCCAACAGGGACATCAGAACCAGGTAGGAGACCAATCTGAGCCAAAAAGTCATCGTCTGCATTGGCCACTTTCCCCAAGCTTACGTCCCACTTCTGGTCTGGTGAAAAGGCACTGCACAGAGTGTGAGCAACTGATACTGCACGCTCATTTGCAACAATCTTGAGCACTTTTTGCATAGAAACGACCTTCACAGCCAACCCACTGGGGAAGCCACAAGCATCAATCTTTGGGTAAATGCAGCATTTGGCGCAATCACTGGTTTGGAACTCTGCAAGTGTTTTGTTGAACATGACAATGGCTTGGCAAATGTCGCTTTTTGGCACAAGATCAGGATGCCTGGCAAGAAGACACAGCCTGATGCACAGCAGCTGTTCCATGTAACTAACACCTTGCAAAGCCAGCAACGGCAGGGACGACCTGTTAAAGCAAGACCCCTGCTGAGTCCGTAGGTCGCGGGTACTACTCTGTGCCACCCCAGGTAAGTGGGCACCGTGTGTCCATGCATTCTCTCCGAGAGCCGGGTCGCTCCTCACCCGCTGGTAAAGTCCACTCCAGCTGTTACATAAATCCTGCAACTCACTGCAGGCGCTTTTCAGAGGCGGGAGTTGGTGTCGGGCCGTTGCAGTGCTGCCAGAGTGGCACCGACCTCGCAGGTCGCACAGCAAGTCCCTGTCGGCACCCAGCAGCCCCGACACGTGGCGCACGTACAAGGAGGCCGAGGTCAGAGCCTGAACGTAGTCTCTGGAGAAGAGGAGCCGCGCGCGACGCTTGGAAAGCTCGTGCAGCCTCTGGCAGTGCGCCCCCACGATGGCGTAGCCGGCGTGATGGCAGAACGCCAGGGCGGCAGCCTCGCCCTCCTCCACCACAAAGTGGCAGCATCTGCGAACACGGTCGTGAACAGGTGATCAGCGCCACGGTCATCAAATGCGCACTGGCCGCCGCGCGAGTGAGCGGATGCATGGACTACCAAAATACGTCCCACCTGGTGTGAGGAGTGGTGGGTACGGCAACGCTGCGATAGTGCTTGCCCAGGTTTTGCAGGCAGGCGTGGAGGTGTGCTGTAAGCGTGTGCTGGGTACGGTTGCGCCCCTCCCTTGGCGGATGGCCACCCTTTCTGCTCAGATGCTGGGCGGTGCATTCCTCGTGCTGCCCTCCTTCATGGCCAGCCATGGTTTTCAACCGGGTCATGAGGCTGGGCCCGCGCTTCCGCCGAGTGCCACCTTCCTCCACCTGGGAGCCCAGCACCAGCGGTTTCAGTCCTGCAGGCGAAAACACAAGAGTGCTGTACGGCAAATCATTGGAACACTTTGAGATGTCGGCAGTTTACACCGAGTTCAGCGCTGCACTCCCGCGAGTTCACGTCGAATGTGTGCAAGCAGTGTGATGCAGGGCCCCTTGAGTGGCCCGCTGTACCATTCATGCGGAAGTCATGCACCATGTCAAGAAGACCGTCCTGAATAGGCGCCAGCAAGCTGGACAGCTGAGGCTCCATCCCACTCTTGCTCATACTCCCCTCGCCCTGAGATCGAGAAGAATACACACAGCGATTAGCTACAACCAGAATTGCCTGCTAAGCATTAAGCGCACGTTTCCATTAATGACATAATGTACGTTGTCGATACAAATTATTTATGACCAAGCAAGATTACGAGGATACAATCTCAAGGCAAATGTGTGTTAAAAAATACAGGAAAGCCATGAATAGAACGAGCAACGTGCCAACAAGAAAATGCGAAACAAGACTGCGCATCGATATTCTACATGGAGTAGCCACGAAGGGATCACACCAGCGCCTGGCGTGTGGAGAACAGGGCCCACCTTGTCCTGCTCCGAGTTTGGTTTAAGAGGCTGATTCATTCACTCCTCGGGCTCAGCAACAATTATCCCAGACTCTCTCCTGTTGCTGAGATATGGCTGTCTCACACCTCCCTCATGGGCACATCAGCTGGGGCCACCATACCCACACTTCTGTACTCGCGTTATTCTGTCATTCACTAAACGTGAATATAACGCTTTTAGAAAGCACCCTGACAACTCATTAATTATTCTTGTCATTAGCATTATTTTTTTAATATCTGGGCGTGGTAGCGCACGCAAGTAAACAAGCGCTTTGGAGGTAAGGGTTGGTGGATCAACCAAATTTGCCAAACTCTCAAACCCGCCAGGCTGAGATGTGGCCACCAGATGGCAGTACAGCAAGCGGTTTCGTTAGGCCAGCTTGTATGAATCACTTGCGGATAAACCCTTCCACTGTGTGGATGTTCTCTGGATACTCGTGTTTTAATCCGAACGCGAAACTTTTCCTTCGAACAGAACTAGCCAATCATTCAGGACCCTCATGCAAATGTCTTCAGAGTCAGTGAGGCACTCTTGCATAAATAAACATAATTGTTATTCATCTTATTTGGTTCTTTCGGTAAAGTCACGTAGAATGAGAATAAAATAATAAATTGATAAAATAACCATTTAACGATTCAGTGCTCCCCCCCCAAAATCTGATGAATCGTCACAATTCGGGATCGCACTTGAAGAGGACGAATTTCGTCTCATTGTTACCATTCTAGCTCGGTTGTTTCCTGTACGGTCTGTCTCGTTTTTACAGTTAGCATCCACTCGATTGCCCTCAACAAAACATTTGCATACACTCTGCATTTATCGTATTTAATTCCTACAAGCTATATTTCGATGTAAGTATCATAACCATAAAAATCAAATTATTATCATACTTTTTATTACCTACTTATTTTCAGATAATGAGTCATAGTTTATTAATTTGCATACCCCATGAAGCATTCTTTAGATCAGCGGTTTTCAAACTGCGGGGGTGCACACCCCAAACCCATCATGGGGGGCGCAGGCAGTGACATGGATACCGTGCAGTAAAAATATGAACATGCGTGGGAACGTCAGCGCCACGTTTTAGTGTCAAACAAACACTCCAAGATATAAACCAAAAGACCTTACTAAAACCGCATTGACTAGAGATGTGAACATGAGATCTGTGTATTGTGGCCTTAGTAATCTGAGGAGGGGAGGGGGGCACGCGATCTAGTGGTCTTGATTGGGGGGTCGGCATACCAAAAACATTAAATCCACTGGTTTAAAAGAATGAAATCATACCTTGGAACCGCCTGCAGGAGACTGTCCACCAGATGGCAATGTTTCAGCAGCAGCTAAAATAAAGACACGAGGCTGAGTGAAGCTCAGTGATTATATTCAAGTTTGTCCCATTTCACATTCATCGTTTGCCATGTGTTGCTTGGCCAGTTTGCCCTACACGAGTTTCCTGCATCTCAATACAGACACAGCGAGCCCCTTCAGATGCACGGAACAACAATCCGCTGACATAGGCAAGTCACTTCACTCAGTAATTACCTGCTCATAATATCACCCGTTCATAAAATATTCATCTGCAAACATATTTTTAGAGGTTGTGTATTGGGACTTGTGTTGTCATTTGTGCATTATAAATGAAGATGATGATCGCGATTCCACGATGAACATGATTTTGTCACGACGATGATGAATACTGGACACACAAATACATGTTTTAACAAAGGCATGGGCTCTGATAAATCCACACGAAGCTGGTGGGATTATTACAAGCCCTTCCACACTACTCACTACTCACGATTAGACAAAACGTTCGAATTAGTATGTAGGGAACGGTGCAGAAGCTGCTCAAACTAAAAAATAACACCAAATTCATAATCTTTAATCTCTGAAGACAGGCCAATGCCTGAAACGTTAGCCCACCATGTCCATTCCTGTTGCAAGGCGGTGCTATTGACAGTGACGTAGCTATTGGGTGTGTAGGCAGTGCTACCACACGGGGGCCCATGGGCTAGACAGGGGGCCCCATGATGTCATTCCTTCTACCAAGGCCAATGGCAACCGCGCTACACTCCTCGCTATTTACGAATGTGGTGGGCTTCATTTTTGTTCACTTGACTTACAGGCCGGTTGGTCGCTGTCCGAGCTCAGCTCTCTCGTGATAGCCGTTGGCCTCCGGGCTGAAATTCCCCTGTCCTTGAGGCTGTGACCAGGGGACCTGGGGTGAACGGCAATGCTCCCGGGCAGGTGAGCCATCATGGTCGGGGGGACAGGGAGCAGAGCAGTGCATGAGGCCGCTGCTGCTCTGTGGGAAGTTGTTGGAACACAGTGCTCTCTTCACTCCTCAGCCACTCTTCCACCATCAGGGGAAGCTACAGACGTCTGCAGAACATGCGGCACCCCCCCCAGCGGCGTTAATAGGGGCAACGTAACAGTGGGTACAATCCCCGTGAGACACCTGCACAATTACCGATTACACACAACACCTCAAGTGAACATTCCCCATAGACAGTCTCATTTACAGCAGTGTCAGATAAATGCCCATTAACAAACCGCCTAGAATGCACCTGGCTAAGCAGTGTTGAGCTTAGACAGTGCTTGGATGGGCGACCACCATTCACAATCTGTGATGAGGCGGTATTGGCAAATGTTATACTGTACAGGTACTTTGAGTCTATGTCCCAACGTCTTCACTCTGGACATCTGTGAAAAAGAGTTTCATAGCTCATCGGATTCATCCAGTCTAAATAAAGATTCCGATTCTATACTCCACACCTATACCCACCTCCACTGATCTGCGTGGCTAAGTGTCGTGATATTAATTGGGTCACTACGGCGTTTAGCGCCAGCTACTGGTAGAAGAGTGGAACAGCGAGTGTTAGAGCCTGACACCAGAGTATGTTATGGCATGAAAAGGGGCCCTCGGGGGCATGGTTCTGGTGAACTGAAAGATGCCACCATCTTCAAAAAAGGTGACAAGTCAGACTGTGACAACTACAGAGGAATCTCTCGCCACCGCTGGAAAAATACTGGCAAGAATCCTACTAAACAGACTTCTACCATATTCTTGGTTCTTTCGGTGACTTTACCGAAAGAATCAAGAATATGAATCCCTGCAGTCACGAAAGCATCAAATCAAAATTTAGACTTCTACCACTTGCTGAAAAACTCCTTCCTGAATCGCAGAGTGGCTTTCGACCTGGCAGGGGAACCTCAGACTCGATCTTCTCAGCCCGTCAACTCCAAGAGAAGTGCCAGGAGCAGAGACTACCATTGCACATGGCCTTCTTTGATTTGACTAAAGCTTTCGATTATGTTAATCGTGAAGCACTATGGAGAATCCTTCTAAGATGTGGCTACCCAACAAAATTTGTTAACGTCCTCTGTCTGTTGCATGACGGTATGAAGGCTGTCATCCTCTCTGATGGTAAAACCTCAGAGCCAATTCAAGTAAGGACCAGTGTGAAACAAGGCTGCGTTATTGCACCAACTCTTTTCTCCATCTTCCTGGCGGTGAATGCTTCATCTTACAGAGAACAAATTTCCCAGAGGCATAAATATAACATGTAGGACAGATGGGTACATATTCAACATCAACTGTTTCAGAGCCAAGAAGAAAACATCATTCACATCCGTTATTGAATTCCAATATGCTGATGATGACGAAGTCAGTGCCTGCTCAGAAGCTGACCTTCAGGTCATCATCAACATATTTACAGATGCTTACAGCATGATGGGTCTAACATTGAATACCAGCAAAACTAAGATCATTTTTCAACAAGCTCCGGGAGGACACCTACCACCCCCTACAATCATTACCAACAATGCAATACTAGAAAACGTTCCCAGTTTCCCATACTTTTGCAGCCATCTTTCTAGCAATGTCTTAATTGATTATGAAATCCAACATTGGATTGCCCGAGCTAGTGCTGCCTTTGGCAAACTTAAGAACAGGGTCTTTGAAGACCACGACATTACCACTAAGACCAAAGTGGCTGTGCATAATGCTGTGATCATTTCAACGCTCTTATATCATGCAGAAACCTGGACCACCTTATCGTAAACACGTACAATCTCTCGAAATGTTTCATCAACACTGTCTCAGGAAAATACTAAACATCACCTGGGAAGAAAGACACACTAATATCAGTGTCCTGGAGCGATCCAACTCATCCAGCATAGAGGCCATAATGATGAAGTATCAACTCAGATGGTCAGGTCACCTTGTGAGGATGAATGACTCGAGGCTTCCTAAGCAAATCTCCTATTCCCAGCTCAGCGATGGATCACGTGCCCCCGGAGGTCAAAGGAAGCGTTTCTGTGACAACCTTAAAATGCACCTCAAGCGAAGCCATATAGATCCAAAAACTGGGAAATCTATGCTCTTGATAGGTCTTCACGCTCGGCATCGTGGGTCAGGCAGTATGTTAACTGACCTGACCCGGTTATGTAGTTACCCCGTGGTGGTTACCGCTATATAGTTATCCCATTGTTACGTTTATGTAGTTACCCCGTTGTGGTCATAGAATAAACGTGTTGCCTCCGAAGTCAAGTGTGTGTCTCAAATGGACCCACTACATCTGGCGTCAGAAGTGTTAAAAATATCTAGGTGATAGCCGACTGTAGTGAAATGTTTACAAGGCAAAGACATCTCATCAAGGCGTCGTCGGATGAAGAGGATGATGAGGGGGTGATTCCCCAGACAGCCCCGGGGATTGCAGCCCCGGAGAAAGGGTGCAAGGCGGCTCTACCGGCAGAACAGCGAGATGAACCCGATCTCGTCGCGCCGCCATCGTCGGGGAGAGAGCGCGGGTTGCGCAAAACCCACTACGCCGATTTGCAGTCCGCCGCGGCAGCGTTGGTCACCGAGCTCGAGCTGGAGGAGCCGGTGAGGGAGGTCGGAGCATCGGGGCCGCAAGGAGACGACTCCGCCGCTGCTGGTTTCCGCACACGGGAAACCGAAGAGATGCAGCCCGCATGCGTGGCGGCCATTTTGTTGGACGGGCGGGACGAGGTTCCCGCCAAATTGGATCTCCCGCCAAAATCGCGACCCGAAGTCCTGGCGTTCAAGAAGCGACTTCCCTTTATGAGGGAATTTACAGCTGCGGGTGGTGACTGGGCGGCGTTTCGGCGGCACTTCACCGCTACTTGTGATCTCGCGGGATGGACCGAACTGGAGGCGTTGCGGGCGCTCCCGACAGTCTTAGATGACACCTTGGCGGCGTTCTACGCCATCCCGCCGGAGGACAGGGTGACGCTGCCGCAAGCCTTTGCCCAGATGGCGGCAATATTCGATTCGCCATCTAACGTGCGACACAAGTTTGCCGCGCGAAGGCGGGGGGAGACCAAGACGCCCCTCGCCTTCCACAGCGCGCTGATTTCGCTGGCGCAGGCTGCATATCCCAAGATAGAGCAAGCTGGGCTGGACTCCTTGGTGCTCGAGCGCATGCTGGCACTGGCTCAAGAACTGAACGTTACCCTGCCAGCCACGGAAGAGGACGACTTATCATCGCTCAAGGTTGCACGATGCATACAAGCACATTTTAATTTGAAACGATGTGCGGGGGTGGCGGCGTGCGCGGGACCTTTCGAGATGGCAAAAGTGCCAGACGGCACGGAGCCCCCCCCAAGTCTGTGCATCGGTCGACGTCGACGGGCAGAGGAAAGGCAACGCAGTTCGACAAGGGGGGCAAGACCTGCAGAAGGGGACTCTTCTTCGCCCAAGGAGCGCCCCCGTCATCTGCTTTAAGTGTGGTCTGCCGGGTCACGTCTCAAGATGATGCCAGGCTGACCAAGGGAGATTCTCTACGGCGCCATCATCTTCCATTCTGCCGTCTTCCGCTCCACGGTCACCTCAGGCGAGTCGCAACACTTCTCAAACCCGGCCATTTCACTCATCTCAGGCATCATGTTTGTGCGCCGGGTGGGATTTGCACGATGTTATTCCTCGCCGGATTGCGGAGCATGAAAATCGGGTTCTGGCGGGTGGTGGGTGGCCGCGGCGCCCGGATCAATGGTCGGCACTAGGACATCGTATTGTTGCTGCGGCGGCGGGATCGTCAGCGATTGTGAGAACCGTGCAGGGGGTTGAGGTGCGGGTACTCATTGACACTGGAGCATACGCTACCATTATTTAAAAAATATTTTTTAAAATTTTGCCGCCTAAACTGTGTAAACTCGGTCATGTAGAAATCCCGTTTTTGCCGTTAATGGCGGGTCCTTGGGGATCGTTGGCCAAATATCGGCAACAGTGTGTATTGTGTGTATTGGTGACATTGAAATGACAGGACCAGTGCTAGTTTCAAAGTCCTTGGCTGTACCCTGCCTGTTGGGAAACGATTTTCTGGGGAGAATGCCTCTTGAGATCCTTGTGGATCAGGGGTGTATTGAGTTGCCATTGGGCCGCCGAATGGCGTTTTGACATCCCCGACTCGGTTGTGCACGATTAACGCCACAGTCCAAGCGCTGGTGGGAGAAACTGTAAAAATTCCCCCCGGCGCTCAAATGCTTGTGCCCTTGCGGCTACGGAAGCAGCTCGATCGAGAAGCTACCGAGGGAGGGATCCTCTTAACCCCTTCGAACAAATTGGTCTGGGGCCTTACATTAGTGGGAGCAAAAAAACTGTGGTCAGAAACGACCAGGAACCTTTCATTCAAGTCTTAAACGCTGGTCTGGGCACCACTGTAATACAGGCGGGTACTTTTCTAGTTCAGGCGTCTGCCGCGTGTTGCGAGGAAATAAATGGTGAGACTATCAGAGTTGCGGCGGCTGTGGAGCAGGAAGAGAGGTGTGAGGAGTCTTGGTTGGACGCACTCTTCTCCGAGAGTTCTGATTTTACTGATGCACAGAGGTCCGGGTTGCGTGCACTTCTTAGATAATTTTCCGATATTTTAGTAAATTGCCGCACGTCTCTGTTGCATGACCACATTGATAAGGGGAGCGTGGCCCTCATTCGCCAAAACGTGTATAGGTTGAGCCCGAAAGAAAAGGACCATGTTCGACAGGCAGTCGACGAGATGTTGGCTACAGATATAATTTCCCTGTCAAACAGTCCGTGGGGGGCTCCCATTGTCCTTGTCAAGAAACAGGACGAGAGTTTAAGATTTTGTGTCAACTTCCGGAAAATTAATAAGGTGTCCGTGGCGGATGCGTATCCGCTTCCACGGATGGATGATTCTTTGGATGCCCTGTCGGGGGCGCGGTTCTTCTCCACCCTTGATTTGTTGTCTGGGTTCTGGCAGTTGCCTCTGGATGAAAGTTCAAAACCAAAGACTGCGTTTCGTACGCCACAAGGGTTGTTTGAATTTACCCGCCTCCCGATGGGGCTCCACTCGAGTCCAGCCACGTTCCAGAGACTCATGGAGCTAGTGTTGGCAGGACTCCAATGGGTCTCTTGTTTGATTTATCTCGACGACGTGATCATTTTTGGACATACATTCGAGGAACATCTGCAACGGTTGCGTGCAGTTTTGTTAATATGCGGGCTGCGAATCTCAAATTTAAGCCGCAGAAATGCCATCTGTTACAGAGGTCGGTTTGGTACCTGGGGCACATTGTCAGCGAATCTGGAATAGCTACAAACCCTGACAAGACTGCGTGCTTGCGCACATGGCCAACCCCCAAGTCGGTGGGTGAGGTACGTAGTTTTCCAGGGTTCGCTTCCTATTCTTTGGGTCTATTGTTAAAGTCACGTAGATAGGTTCAAAGAAAATAAGAAAATAACTACGACGTTTCAATCGCAACACAAGCGGTCGTCATCAGGAAAAAGGTTTGAAATGGGCATAGCCCAAATGTAGGCAGCCAATACAAGTGGTGGGCAGCGACCGTGGCGGTGGTGGGCTTTCCACCAATCAAAGGGCTGCAAGGCAAATAATTTGCATGTCAATGCAAGATCGCCGAGCATCCTTCACGGCGAATGCGCCAAGGTGGCTATGTTAATGTGAGAGATTAGCATGTTAATGGAAAATCGCTGAGCATCCTCCACGGCGAGTGTGCCAAGGTGGCTATGTTAATGTAAGAGATTAGCATGTTTATGGAAGATCGTGAAGCAGCAGCCTCGAGGATGGCGCGCGAGGTAGCTGTGTTAGTGAGAAATTTAATCTGTTAATGTAAAAAATCAGAGAGCCGAAAATAACAACTAACATCAGAAGGTGGTAGGCTGGGAACATTACAGCCAGTTATGACTTAAACTGGTTAATAACGTCCTTCCAATGAGTGCTTAGTTTGTACCCATCTTCTCAGTTGAAATTGTGTCTGTGTCTATATATATGCATGGTTTCATGAACGAAACTTTTGTTGATAGCCAGTGAGTTTGCAAAGTACCTTTGTCTTAGAGAAATCAATTCCGTGTGAGCCCACCGCATTAAAAGAATGACCAGCCACGGCCGAGGTATTGGTCCTACTGTGTTTCAGATCTGCGTTATGTTCACAAACACAGTCCGAGACATGTCGCTTAGTTTCCCCAATGTAGCTACTGCCGCAGACACGGCTTAGTTTGTAGACGCCGGGATATTGCATGTCAGGGATCCCATCCTTCACAGATGGGATCAGATCATGAATTTTATGTACTGTGTTAAATCGAACCTGGATCTTGTGTTTGATCAAGATTTTGGAAATATTTTTGGTGACCCCTGCTATGTATGGCAAGGTGATGGTTTTGATTGGGTCCTATTATAGCCGTTTTGTGCCCGGGTTCGCCACAATCGTGAAACCTCTCCGCGTTCTCACTGCCAAGGGTCAGAAATGTTGAGTTGGAGGAGGCTGTGTTTGTCGTGCTACCGGATGGTCTGATCAACGTACCTCCCCTTCGGTACCCTGATTTTTCTTTGCTCTTCGTCCCGGACGCAGACGCCAGTTACACCAGAATTGGCTCCGTGTTATCCCAGGTTGTGAATGGAGTGGAGAGCGTGGTTGCGTATGGGAGTCAAGTACTGTCCCCGGCAGAGCAGTGCTACTGCGTGACACGCCGAGAGTTGTTGGCTATTGTGTGTTTCATCCAACAATATCGTCCGTACCTCTATGGCAGAAGGTTTGAGGTACGCGCGGATTATGCGGCTTTCCAGTATGCGCTGCGGGTCGAACAGCCATCCAGGCAGCTCTCCCAGTGGCTAGAAGTCCTTCAGGACTACTCGTTTAAAGTCTCCTGCAGGAAGGATGTTCGCCATGTGAATGCAGATGCACTGTCGCGACTGTCACCAAGTGACCAGTGTGCATGTCTTATGGGTGCAGGGCATTGTAAGCCCGCTGAGACAGGACTGTCTCCCAATGTTGTGGCATCAGCGGACATTCCACTCTCCGATACTACCGACATGTGTGATAACGCTATCGGCCTCACCCATACTGAATGGGAGCGACTCCAAGCGGAGGATGCCTCCTTATTGAAACTGAGGCGCCGCGTCGGGAATGTAGAGGGTGGGAAGAGCTGACGAGAGTTATATGGGTTGCACACGAACGGTTGATGCACCTTGGAGTGCAGAAAACATTGTCGACTCTCCGACTTGATTTCTTCTGGGCCGGAATGGCAGGAGATGTTTACAATGTGTTGAAGGGGTGTGTGGAATGTGCTCACCAAAAACCCCCACGGAGAATGGGCCATCCACCGTTGCAATCGATTGGTGTGTCCTGAGTGAACGAATTCGTCGCGCTCGACATCCTCAGGCGATTCCCCACCACCCCGCGGGGTAATAAATATTTATTGGTGGGGGTGGAGTACCTCTCGCGCTGGCCAATGGCCTGGCCGCTGCCAGACCAGTCGGCTGCAGCGATTACTGAAGCATCCCTTCATGGTTATGCATTAGATAAGGGGGCCCCGGAACGCCTCCTTACTGACCAAGGCAAACATTGTTCATTTAAATTGTATAAGGAAGTGTGTGATCTGTTGGGCATCAAGAAGTTTATGAACTTGGCCCTATCACCCCCAGACTGATGGAATGGTGGAACGATTGCACAGGATCCTGACGTCTATGTTATGTTGGCAGATCAATGAAGCCCAGTCCGACTGGGACTTGCACGTTCCAGGTGTTCTCGCGGCCTATAGAATGGCCCCTCACTCTTCTACTGGGTTCTCACCATTTTTTTTCTTATGTACAGTAGGGAACAGGACCCCCCAATTAAAGTTCAATTGAACACGGAGCCGAGTAAGAGGAAGATGCCTAGCCCTATGCACCTTACCCTTAAGCAGTTGTCAGAAGCACGGGAAGCTTTCCGAGGGAATTCAGCCTTGCAGCATGGGCCGTCATTAGCAGCAGGCTGCTAATGAAAGGCTAGTGGGGCTCCGGGAATCGAGAACTAAATGGACACGGGAGATAAGGCTTGGCAACACTGCCCCCCAAGTCCCAGTGGGTACGTCCCCCAAATTGTATAAACCATGGCAGGGCCTGGTCGAAGTGATAGAGGTTAAAAGGCCACAATGTGTGCAGATCTAGTTCGGTCGCAGGTGCTGGTTTGTACATTCGTCGCGGCTGAAACCGTTTTTTCCGCCTCGCGGGATCCCCTCATCTCCACTACCCCAAGGGCCAGGTGTCTGATGAGTTTGACGAGGTGGGGCGTGGGTCCGCTGAGGTCATGCCTCAGGGAAGTTCTGTTCTTCTGCCCACAGGATCCCAGCACCTAACACCCTTGGAGTCACCGGTTGCGCCGACCGGAGGTGGATTAAGGAGAGTGGAGCGGACGTCGCCCACTCCTTCTCCGCCTGTTGTTTTTTCTTCTCGGGAGGGGATGCGCCCGTTAGGCCATCTTCAAGCTGTCACCAGGACCCCCGGCGAGCTCACACTCACGCCACCTGGGGGTCCGGCAATGAGGACCCGTTCGAAGACCGTCCGCTTTAAATTACTCTTCTCCAACGTCCTATTTATTCCTACACCGTCTGTCGGTGGTCACACACACGAGCCGGATCATGTTACCGGTTGAACTTAGTTCTTCTTGTGCTCGCAGGTGGTGACACGTATATGGGTGTAGGGTTGTGTATATTGTCAGGAGGTTGAGTCGGTCCTTGTATATTTGCAAACGTTTTTTTTTGTTCTTCATTTTTTAAGGTCTTCTTCAGTAACTGTCTATTGTTTGGTCGACGGTCGTTGTGGGTTTTTTGTTGTTGTTGTTCTACTGAAAATTGTTGGAGGCAGATTGTTGTTAATTGAAGGATATTGATCAGCCGGGACGACTGTTTTTTTTATCAAGGGGGGGGGGGGGGGTGATGTAGTGATGTATATTGGGTCACTACGTCATTTAGCGCCCACTACTGGTAGAAGAGTGGAACAGCGAGTGTTAGAGCCTCTGACACCAGAGTATGTTATGGCATGGAAGGGGGCCCTAGGGGGCATGGTTCTGGTGACTGTCAGAGAGAGGGCAGTTGAGGACATGATAGTATGGTTGAACCCGAGAGGGCACGTGACCAGGACAGGGTAAGAATGTGGGCCATAGGTGGCGAGAGGGACACGTGGTGTATGGTCCAAAACCTTCCGGGAGGATCCAGAAGGGGGCGTCGCCGAGGGCGGAGCCAGGCCACGCTCAGGGGCATAAAAGGGAGGTCCCGAGAGCCGATCAGGGGCTGTCACTGGAATGGAACCCGCCGGGCTATGTCTCTTCGCTCTTCAGTCTTCACGCTCGGCATCGTGGGTCAGGCAGTATGTTAACTGACCTGACCCGGTTATGTAGTTACCCGGTGATGGTTACAGCTATATAGTTATCCCGGTGTTACGTTTATATAGTTATCCCGTTGTGGTCATAGAATAAACGTGTTGCCTCCGAAGTCAAGTGTGTGTCTCAAATAAACCCACTACATGAGTATAATAATCTGCATGGTGTGGGGAGGCCCTCATCTATCAACAAAAGTGCTGTACCGTACATGTACAAATGCAAAACATTCCAGTACTTATGTAGAGGAGTAATGTGAGCAAATACGAGGGGGCGAACAGAGGGAGGTGCGAGCGAGTTGATAGTTAAGGATCACATCATGTCACGGGTGGTGGAAGAGGGACCTTCGGGAACAAAGGCGGGTGCGAGCTAGGGGAAGGAGCCGCCAAAGGGGTACTTAAGGGGGACCCCGTGATGAAGGCGTGGTCGTTGTGGGGAGCCAGGGCAAGGATCGGCTGGAAGAAGAGAGCTAAGGGGATAGCCGAGATTGGGGTCCGGAGTATTCAGTCCGGATCGGCTGAAAGAGGGTTTCTCTCTCCTCGTCACCGGACAGTGTTGGATGAGCCCCCATTCCAGGCAGACGAGTGAGAGAGCCCTAAAGGAAAGCCGAAGGCAGGACCAGGTACTGTTGAGAGTCCGGGGTAAGGACCCAGATGGAGAGCACCTACCTCTGGTGTGAGTTCGAGTGTTGGGTTCAACAGTGTTTAATAAATGGCAACAACCCCTTACAGCAACATTCCTCGTCTCCGCCTGGTTCTTTGGCACGACACTTACATAAGGGTATTCCATGCAACCGCTGGTGATAACACACGAGCTTAAACAATATTCGTCACGAAAACCCTGGCCATGTCAGCCAGAACACGTGTAAACAAAATAGCCAGGAGAGTCGCCAACAGCAAATAGAATAGATGGTACTCCCATCAGCCGAAGAGGTTTTCTGGCGAAACGTTCTCCAGCAGCCTGGGTTTAATCAGCCTAAGCCGGGATCGGTTTTGACGTTAATTCGTGCAAGCAGGATGTGCTCCCCAAATCCAAGCGGTTGTTGCGCTCAAGTGTTATTTCTTTGGTGATGCGACGGATAGGTAGGTGTCCGTTTTAAATTTGACAGAACCCGTAACACACAAAGAGAGTGCAATCGTGACTTACGTACAACAGATCTCGGATGATAAGCGCATTTAAAGACTGGATAGTACTTGCACAAACAAATTACCTTGGAGCGCATGCCTGAAAAATCGGTTGTACTCTACTTATATGCTTCCGAGTGTATCCTCCCCGCCTCTACCAATCCACACCGAGCAGGGTGGTAGAAAAAAAAAGGTACGGTCAAGCAACACTCTCGTCCAGCAGTGGACTCACGATGTGCACGAGAACCAGGCGCCTCGAACGATGCCGATTTCCCACCCGCGTGGGAAGCTCCGTGCCAGCGGTGGCGGCGACCGCTCCTCAAAGCCCGCGGAGCTCCCGGGCACGAGGGGACGTGTCGGCGGCGCTGCGCGCCCCGCGTTAATGCGGTGCGGCAGGAACACTTAAAGCAGGGGTGGGCAAATGTTTTGACTCGCGGGCCACAATGGGTTCTAAAATTTGACAGAGGGGCCGGGCCAGGAACAGATGGATGGAGTGTTTGTGTGAACTAATATAAATGACATGTAAAAATAATTATATGAAAGGGTTTGGCCTTTAACAGGTAGCAAAGCATTTAATTGCAAGGCAATTTAACAAATTGCACGAACATGAATACAAAAACATATTGTAACTCCCGGTCAAAGTGCGCCATCTAGTGGGGGCATTACAAGAGAAGGGGAAAATTTAATTTAATAATATTTGGACAAGTTCGGCGGGCCGGATTAATAAGCCCAACGGGCCGCATACGGCCCGGGGGCCGTACTTTGCCCATGTCTGAGTTAAAGTCAGGCGAGACGCCGCCAATAACCGCGAGGAAGCTTTAAGCGCGACGATCTCTTCAGGCGACACGCAAACCCGCGGCGTCTACGCGGCGGGGACATCCGCTGCGTAATTCGACGAACACGCCAGCGGGGAGATCGCGCCGAGCCCTGAGGGGGCACAGGGGGGGTCGAACTCGAGTGGCGGCAATCACAGCCACTGCCTTTGCAAGGGGACGAGGGCCAGCTGCCGTATGCGTGGCACTGTGTACACGTTGCTGCGCGTGTCGCGTGTCGACGCGCTTGCACTGCCGCTATCGCGCCGGGTTCCTTGAGCGTCGCTTCGCCACGCCGTGAACAACCGCGACCTACGGAAATGCAACGGAATCGAAGCCACCAACGGATTCCCGCCTCGGGTCTCCGAAGCCGTCGCGTGGCGTTCGCGCCGGCTTACACACACACACAGCTCTCTCTGTCTTGAACTCAGCACAACCGCCTGCCGCCACTCACGCGCCAAGTTGAACGCGAGCGTCGCCTCAGCAACCGCGATTCTTACCCGAGGGCTGCTGCCGCTGCTGCCGTTGCGACTGGAGGCGTCTCGTGGGGAGATCTGCGACTGCTGCTACGTCCGAGGCTTCCCTAGAGGCTCCCTCCGCTCCGTGTTTACGTCGCGATCCGGCTCCGAGGCTTCTCTACAGGCTCCCTCCGCTCCGTGTTTACGTCGCGATCCGGCTCTGAGGCTTCCCTAGAGGCTCCCTCCGCTCCGTGTTTACGTCGCGATCCGGCTCCGAGGCTTCCCTAGAGGCTCCCTCTGCTCCGTGTTTACGTCGCGATTCGGCTCCGAGGCTTCCCTACCGGCTCCCTCCGCTCCGTGTTTACGTCGCGATCCGGCTCCGAGGCTTCCCTAGAGGCTCCCTCCGCTCCGTGTTTACGTCGCGATCCGGCTCCGAGGCTTCCCTAGAGGCTCCCTCCGCTCCGTGTTTACGTCGCGATCCGGCTCCGAGGCTTCCCTACAGGCTCCCTCCGCTCCGTGTTTACGTCGCGATCCGGCTCCGAGGCTTCCCTAGAGGCTCCCTCCGCTCCGTGTTTACGTCGCGATCCGGCTCCGAGGCTTCTCTACAGGCTCCCTCCGCTCCGTGTTTACGTCGCCACCCGCACACGGTGGCGCCGCCATGCCGCGCGCGTGCATTCAGCTTCCGGGGCCACGCGTCCCCATGACAACGGAGCCGCACAAGAAGCCCTGCCACGATTGGAAGCAAGTGGTGGGGGGGAGTGTTGCGGGCACTGATTGGAGGGTTTGTCTGTCAATCACTACCGCCCGGGTTGGGGGCCCACGCCCCGTTACCGTGGAAACTGGGGGGGGGGGGGGGGCAACACACGTGACTTGTGAGGGATCTCTCAAGCTAAGCGGGGTCCAGCCTGGGTAATGCCTGGATGGGCCACCACCGTTGCTATAGGCTACGGCCCTACGTTGTGGGCAGCAAAGGAAGGTGCATAGCATCCATTGTTGTCCCGTACTTCTATGCTTCCTATAACCTTCACCAATCCGCACTGACCAATGTGGTGAAGTATGGCCGAACAATCCCCACGCCCCACGCGGTGTTGCCGAGACCCTTGCCCACGTGACCTCGCAGGACCTCATCCAGCAGTGGATCCCCAAACGGGCCCTGCACAAACCGGGCTGTACACGTACGCGGTGTCCTCATGGGGAAGTGACTCGCCCTCGCCATGGCAATGTGGAATTAACGCCACTGGCTAAAGCAGCGCTCCGCTTGTGCGGGGCGCCGCTTTGCCGCTTGATGCCGTCAGCTGTCACGGCGCGCGTGCCAAGACGGACGGGCAATTGTCACGCGATTCCCCCAGCGATTGTGCATTGCACACGTGGCAAGATGTGAACTCCATCGCCTGGTATGCAGGAGGTCGTGGGTTCAACGCCAACCCTGGTGCCTGTGTCTGTGGGGTTTGCGTGTCTCTCTCTCACCGTGGTCGCGTGGATTTGTTTTCCGGGTCCTCCAGTTTGTTCACCCTCCACATTTAGAAACATGGCATTTAGAGTATCTGGCTGCTATAACATTTCCACGTGATAAGCAACTTCGCTGAGCTATCGTTTGTGGCCAGGTCGCTTCTGAAAAAGAGCTATACAGCTCAGTGGGCCTTACCTGGTATAATAAAAAAAACTTAATGATGTACATTGTAAAGATATGTAGAAACATGAATGTTTACCAGCTGCATCAGTGCATCATCACCACCACCACGCATCGGTTTTGATTCGGGTGCAACTACGAGCTGTATCGGCAGTGTACGTGGTGTTCTGGGGCGGGTTTTTCCTCCTTTGGCTGCCGTTCCGTCATTCGTCTCGACCGCCCGGCCACCACCACCACCACTTCCTTCTCGCCTGGCACGTGCTGCTCGAAACAACGTACGGGCTCTTTTATTCCCAACCAATGTCTCAAACGTGTGTGTATGTTCTCTGATCAATGTGTTCCTCGTTGCAAGTCCACGTGAGGCAACTCTTTACGCAAGTTGTATTGAGGGGGGGGGGGGGGGGTATCATTGTTTTAGACTTCTGTAAAAGTCTAATTCCAGCGATGAGTTCCCCTCGTCTGCAGGAGCGAGATGGGGTGTCGCATTGCAGCACCGCGAGAGATGGAAAACGGCCTGGGCAGACCTCCATCCAGCAAGACGCAGCCTTGCAATTGATTATAATCAATTATTCACGGCACTGCCGGTGGAAGAGCCTTCAATAGACGGAGCGCTGGAGGGTGTTTGGCCTACTCTTCCACGCTTTACCACACCTTACCCCACTAGCGCAATGGACTAGTGGTGGTGAAGCGATTTGTGATTCTGCTGCTGGGTGGGCAGAGGTGTGGGGGAGTGGGGATAACAAACTCACACCAAAATCTCTAACCGGTGACCTCTCTCGATTGCAAGTGCAGTGTGCTGCGAACCATTACACCACGGTGGCAGCTCCCATGTTTTTTTTACTTTTAAAACATAAACACGTGGTGTTGATTATTATACGCATCTATATATTTGGTTACCAGTTCAGAAAAAGAGCCCTATTTTAACGAACCTAATAACTCGCCCACGGGTTTCTGCTGTAATTGACACGTGGCTATCAACGGTTCTTGGCATTACATTTATAACCACATAAGACTCGCCGTGGAGCTAGTTCAGGGTTCGCCTACACCAAAACGAATCGATTGAATCAGCCAGGCCTGCTCATATGACCATCATCAGCCATGGCCAATCCAGCGTTGGGCGGGTCCTACGCTGTAACAATTCAACTTGTACATGCACGCGAACTGATGTGAACGCTCCATCTCCGTGGTTCACGTCCTGTAGGGCAGAGAAGAGATGGAATGATGTGGTACAAGAGGATGCGGAGCTGAGTGGACTTGCCAAAGACTGGTACCAGCGGTGTCAAGATCGGCCTATATGGAGGAGGTTCGTGAAGGACGCTGCTGAGCAGTTGGAGGCAGTCGCCCTCCAACAGCAACGGAGGGCGGAGGAGCGGGGTCACAAGAACGAGCGGAGCAATCTGGCACAGTAGGAGGCACAAGTGGTGTATCGGACAGTCATCTCAGTCAGTTGACCTATGGCACCTGGGTCCTGTCCCGTGACCTCCTGCCAGTGGGCGTTCGACACTCCACGTGGCCTTAAAGTGTACATAGCGTGGCGCAAGCGCCGTGGTGACGCCACCGCTACTTAGTGTTGTTGTTGCTCACTCCTTTGACTGCCGCTCCGCAGTTAGTCTCGAACACCGGCTATCATCCCTTTTCGTGGCGTGTCGAGCACAATCACACTAACTTTCCTTACCAATGTCTTCAACTTGTGTATGTTCTCCGATCCATGTGTTACTCTTTTATCTCAGCGTATTTCTAAATGCGCAAAGTAGCATGGGGTGATCGTATTTTACACGTGCGTTTTCCCCAGTGTCCTCCCTCGGTGCAGAAGTGCGTGGTCACACAGAGAGAGCGTGGTCACACACGGAGTGCGTGGTCATAGTGCGAGTGCGTGGTCACACAGAGAGTACGTGGTCACACAGAGAGTACGTGGTCACACACGGAGTGCGTAGTCACACACAGAGAGCGTTGTCACACAGAGAGCACGTGGTCACACAGAGAACGTGGTCACACACGGAGTGCGTGGTCACACAGAGAGTGTAGTCACACACAGAGAGCGTTGTCACACAGAGAACGTGGTCACACACAGAGAGGCCACTGCCCTGCCCCTTCATGCAGAAACCACACCCCGCTGCTAACTTACAGACAACCACAAACTGAACATTTAAGCAGACACAGGGCGTGCACAACCCGTTACGTGTCGAGTGTCTTTCTGTTTACACAGAGGCAACTCATCCACACCTCACATTCGTGTACAGAAATGCACGTGTTTAATCCATAGATGCTGACCCTTTATTGACGCGGTTAGTGATTAGTAATACAGAAGCTCGTGAAAATGCAATTGCATTCTGGTTACCTTGATATTGATTACGTTCTCAAGCGCGGAGTAAATGTGCGTTCGATGCCACGTTTGGGTACAAAACAACAACAGTAAAATGGTCTGTGCTCAATTTTTGTACTGCATAATACTGATTAGCGTAAAGGCATGGAGTTTCCAATGCAAATGTTACGATGAACAAACCACTGCACCCACAAACATTACTACATTGAAAGCGTTCTGTCAACACCTCTGGCCCTGCGCATACGGCCGGGCCAGTGACACCAACCGCCAGACCCTGGCCACCACCACCCCCCTTTCAGTCGACTCAAAAAGGTCCTGCCACACTCCTGCTGGTGTCGGACTCTGTCCAGATGCCCTCGGAGGTCCGCTACATTCTCACACTCGTAAAAGCTGGCTGCACTCCACGTGCGAGGGAGGCTTTACCCACCGCTCCCCTCCACGTGCGAGGCTTTAGCCACCGCTCCCCTCCACGTGGGAGAGAGGCTTTGCCTACCGCAGATGTAACGGCACGCGGGCCCATGGCCGCGCACACAGCGTGTTTATGACAACTGCTGTTATGATCACCTGGCACTCCGCTCGACCGCTGGCGGGGCTGGCGCAGCGTGCGTGAACAAGCGGCGCTCCGTGCGTGCCAAAGGAGGGGTGGGTGTCTCTCCCGCGCGGAATGTAGCCACGTTGCCAAGTGTTATACAAAATCCCCCGTATAGCCTTAACAGACTGATGGAGCAAGTGCTGCCAGCGAGCACCGATGAAGGCCGTACACACACGCACACACACGTACACACAGACACGTACACACACGTACACACACGCACACACACACGTACACACACACGTGCACACACACGTACACACACACACGTACACACACGTGCACACACACACGTACACACACGTACACAAATAAAGGACACACACGCACGGGCGCGTAGCAAAAGTAAATAAAGGTGTCAAAGTAAAGCACTTGATAAACGTCTAAAAATACCTCTCAGCACACAGAAAGCCACTTATTTTACCCTGTCCAAGTACTAGCATTGGTGTCCTTTTTATTATTTTATTACCCATGCTGCATTGATCATTTATCGAACTGTGTAGTTAGCAAAAATATCAGGATTTTTTTTTCTCTCTCAAAACAACGAATCTTTCATTTTAAAAAATATAAAGATTCCACTTTTTTGTTTTAAACCTGATGAGTATTGGAGGCCTGCTCGCCCGCACTGTCGCATCTTAACCACTCGTGTTCTCACGGCGTCTCGTCGTAGGTTGTACATTCGAGAATATTTTTGCTAACTATTTAGCGTGGGGAAAACGCGGGGGAAGCTGCTAAGGCCTGAGAAGCTCGCGGTCGGCGCGCGGCCATGGCCTCGGGACGTCGGCCCTCACTTGGAGGTCCCCTCGACGCTGTCCCCTCGGCCGTCTGGGGGGGGGGAAGACAGAAAACACGGGGCGGTGGCACAGGGGGCGGCGCGGGTTAGATCACAGATCACTCGGAGAGGCGGCACAACAACAACAACAACGACGAGGACACCAACAACGAGGTCTTCACTTAGTGGCCGTGCGGGCTCCACGGTGGCCTGTTAGCCCATCAATGAGGCGGTGCTGACACCACGAGAATCGAGAAAACTTTGAAGAAAATAAAAAAAACAAAGATCTCCCCTCTCGCCTTGACAGACTGTATGGGAAAGTGCTGTTAGCGAGCACCTTTGAAAGCCGGCGCGGCACATTAGGGGGTGGGTGGCCAGCACCACGCCAGGCTGCCTTTATCTCCCTCGTGGTGATGTTTACACACCGCACCAGGTACTCATTTGAGGTTCAGTCGCCCCAGGGGAGGCCCAGGAACGATTCAGATAATCGGCACCAATGTTGGCCATGAGCGGGTATTGAACCAGGATTGCTGGCTTCGTAGCGCGGCACGCTAACCGCTATGCCACCACTCCCCCACTACCGTTCAGAGGTGCAGCAGCCCAAACAACCAACGTGGACCAACGAGCCAAACAGACAGGAGGACTCGGCCCCCTCCCTCATCCCTGACCACAGCTCCATCACTCGGGCGTGTCACGTCGCGTTTTGTGTTTTTCTGTTGGTGTCCGCGGTGGCGCCGTGCGGGCACCTTTGGTCATCACGCCTCCTCCTGCCTTGGCCTTGCCCTCCACCACCTTGATGGAGGACTCAGCCTGCGTTTCCCCGAGGCTGTTCTTAGCGTGGCACTGGTAGGTCCCCGCGTCCTCGCGCATCAGAGGGTTGATCTGCACGGCAGGAGAAACAAGGAGGCCGCAGAGGGGATTTAAGAGTCAGACGGTCGCCATGCTTCAGGTAGCTCACACAGACTATTAATATATTCTCCCAGGCATACCACTTCAAGACGGCCCACAGACAATATTCATCCGTCACTGCCAGCATCTTAGGCGCACTAATCGGTTACTGAGAGGGAATTTTTTTTTTACTTGAAAACAATGTTTGTATGTAAACACAGTGAGCCCTGATGATATGTTTGCCTTATTATTGGACGACGATATCACCGTGTGTTATAACGCGTGGTTGCCTGCCAAAGATATTTGAACGTCCTCTCTGGCCCTCGGCGAGGACGAGGTTCGCCAGCGCTCTCCACACAAACAGAGGCGCATCTCACTGTGCTGGGGGTGCCACGGTGATGAGATGTTAACTACCGCGTCTTGTGGGTTCGACCCCGACCCTGACGCGTGCTGTGTATTTGGAGTTTGTCGCTCCCCGCGGTCGTGTGGACTTTTTTCTTGGTCCTCCGAGTTCTCCGTCCACAATTAGAAACGTGCGTTAGAGTATTTGGCTGCGATACATTTCCACGTGATAAGCCACTTCGCTTCTAAAAAAGAGCTGTATAGCTCAGTGGGCCTTAGCTGGTAAAATTAAAATAGTTTTTAGTTTAGTACCTCATTAAATCGGGTTGATAGCTCACCAAACTGACCACGTGGCTTGGCAGTAGGGCGAGCGGCTCACAATTGTAAGATTCAATTTAGATTTGAAGCTTGCAAATCGCTCTACTGCTGAGCCACGTGGCCAGTTTGGTCAGCTATCAATCAGATTAAATGAAGTACTAAACTAAAAACTATTTTAATTTTACCAGCTAAGGCCCACTGAGCAATACAGCTTTTTTTCAGAAGCGAAGTGGCTTATCACGTGGAAATGTTAACTTGCCCCCCGCATCCCCAGCTCTCTCGGCCTCCCACTTCCAGCCCCGCTCCCCCCCCCCCCAGCCTCACTTCCTTCTCCTAGCGTCTACGCAGCGCTCCCCTACCCCACGCCCCCACCCCCCTCCTGCCTCTCCCCCCTTGCCCCTTCCCCCTCTCTTACCTATACAACCTCTTACCACGGCATCTCTCTCTCCCACTTCAGCAAAAAAAACCTTTATTCTTTCTGTGGTATTCCCACCTGATGATGGTTGCTTGTGTTGCAATCGAAACGTCGTGATTTATTTTATTTTATACCTACGTGACTTTACCGAAAGAACCAAAGAGTAATTGTAAGATTGCGAATTCAAATCCTGTTCGGGGGACTGACTCAGCCCATCATCCATCCGAGGTCGATAAAATTGGTACTATTTTGTGGGGAGGGTCAACGTGAACGAGGAATTCCCACCGCTGGCTCAGGGCTGCAAACGGGCGATGAGCGGAAGAAGACACTCGACGTCAAACCGCGCGGACGTTCGATTCACCCGCGAGCGCTGCGTTGCGCGACAGCGCAGGGCGTGAGAGGGCTTGCGGGCGAGGTGGTGGTGCTGGTGGGGGGAGGGTGGTGTGCACTCACCAGCACCCAGGCGGTGCTCTCGTACTTGGAGGGCCCTCCGCGCACCTGCACGGCCAGGTTGATGCGATCCCCGGGCAGCTCCTCCAGCAGCTTCACGCCCTTGGGCGACTCCGTCACCTGGGAACGAGAGTGAATTTATCTCATTGCGTTGTCTTCTGCTTCTCCTCCTCCTCCGTGTGGCTGCTGTTGATGTAAAGCAACAGCTATGATTTTACATTGAGGTGGTGAATCGCTGTTGTGGTGACGATGTCTCCTTAGTAATTTGTGAATCGGGCATTGAGTCGATTTTCTCTGCTCCACGGTTCTCTGTTCTGGGTGGTGACGACAGTTGCTTCACACTGCCGGGAAGATTCTAATTTTCCGTCTGTGCATCACCATCAGCATCGTCAAGTATCTGCATCTGCTGCTGCCATCGTTTGCGTATCCGCCATGGTTTGTGTATCTGCCATAGTTTGTCTATCTAAACTAAACTATTTTTATTATACCAGGTATGGCCCACTGAGCTATATAGCTTTTTTTCAGACGCGACCTGGCCACAAATGAGAGCTCAACGAAGTGGCTTGTCACGTAATATTTTATAGCAGTCAAATACTCTAAACTCACGATACTTCTAAATGTGGAGGGAAAACCGGAGGAGCAGGAGAAAAATACACACGACCATGGAGAGAACACACACACTCCAAATATACAGGCGTCAGGGTCGGGATCGAACTCACGACCTCCTGCATATCCGGCGAGGCAGTTAACATCTCGCCACCGTGGCGCCCTGCGATGGTACGTGTAAAACCACTCGCGATGGAACGTCTCGTCCGCAAACACGCAGTGACACGCGGACACGTCTGTTATGGAGTCGCGTGTGAATCGAATGTCGGTCGCTCTGCCCAAACCTGCACGACTCCGCCGCCCTTCACACAGGAAGGAAAACCCCAGTTGCGTGAGCCACGGGGCTCTGCAATTGGCAGCCCGCAGGCCCAATGTGGCTCTTGGAGTGACCGGCGCCCAGAGATTTGGCTCGCCAAGACACAGAGAAATTGAGATTTCGTGAGATGGAAAACAGATAAAGATGACTGTTTAAATTGTATATTGCGAGAGTGGTGGCACAGTGTTTAGCACGCTGCACGTGAAACCCAATTACCCGAGTTCAATTTCCACTCACGCTCAACACCAGTGACGATTATCTGAGCCGGTCCTGGGCCTCCCCTAGGTCGACTCAGCCCCAAATGAGTACCTGGTGTGTTGTGTAAACATCTCCACTGGGGAGACAAATGCGGTCGGGTGTGATACTGCACACCCTTGTGTGCCGTGCCGGCCTTCGATGGTAATCGCGAACAGCACTTGCCCTAACAGCATGGTAAGGCTATACAGGGGAATCGTTGTCTTTGTTGCAGTGACGTGGCCCAGCGGGTAGCGCGCTCGCCGGTCGTTGCAGAGGTTCGCGGTTCGAATCCAGCAGGCCGCCGTGGTTAATACTGCGGTGGTTGTAGGATTGACCACGGTAATACCACGTGCCGTCTGCTTACTAACAGCGACGTTATTTGAAACGAGGTCACTGTGTGCTGGCTTCGTCGTCCAAATTTCTGAAATTCTAAAAGCGTCACCGCAGTTCACTCAATTGGAATTGCACCCGGCAACAACGTCGCCCCCCTTTTTCTACGACTCCCCGCAGACTGTGCGACACACAGTGGCACCTTCCTGCGCGTTATAAGAATGATCCCGCCCATACCACGCGTACTCAACCATTGTCATTTTTCTGGAATGTTCCGCTGTGGAGACGCCGCCCCGCATGGGAGGTGAGTGTGGTGCTGGTACGGACCTTCCTCCAGGTGACGATGGGCAGTGGCACGGCCTTGACCTCGCACGACAGGTACACCTGGGAGCCCGTCACGTTCACGATGTTTTTGGGAGTCGTCACGATCATGGGGGCTGCACGCAAACCCGCACACAAGTGCAACGCACCCGCGACACATCGTCAAACTGCACATCACCGCACCGGCCACCACATTGCACAGAACCGCACATTAAAACACAGCACATCACGGCACCACGTACTACACCACACCACGTACTACACCACACCACGTACTACACCACACCACGTACTACACCGAACCACGTACTACACCGCACCACGTACTACACCACACCACGTACTACACCACACATCACGTTTGCACGAAGAATTAAATTACCCTTGTACGTTGTTATCGTTAAATCGCTACCATTTACCAGCGCTATCGCACACACTTATATCCACGCAGCCAAATAAACAATATTGTATTATAATGGAATAAATAAATAACTGATTATGGGAGCGCTGGGGGGCAAGGGGGTCTACTGCACACCACTGTTGGAATGCTGCAGAAAGTGTAAAAAAATTATGACTAAATCAATAAATTCCCAAAACACGTGGCTCTCATTGCCTCAGCGGGCCACATCGACCACGGTAACTCGACGCGCGGTGTCCACCACGCTCGAAATCGCGGCTCCCAGCAGAGGTGCAGATCTTGCACCACCACCACCGCCGCCGCCACCACCATCTGGATCCGAGCCGCGCCTGCCACACAGCCCACGTGGGCTGTTGGTGCCGACCGAGGTAGCCACCTCGAGTTGTGCACGAACGCGTTTACATCGCCACCAAGAGTGAATTACGCAACAACCGCATTGAAGAGGCGCACTTGCTGCTGCCGCCACACTATCCACTTCCATTGGCCACACACAGGAACTGGTGGTGCCGCTCTTTGTTTGTGACGTCTCGTTCTACCGACGACTCGGAACATGAGTGTATAGTGGAGGAATATCAGTGGGCTCGCATAATGAGGAAGTATAATGTACTCATTCATCCTCCCCCCCTTCACACTTTGCGCAAGAAGACGGCACAAGTGTGGTCACCACATCTATGCCTCTCCGTAAGGAACGAAACGAGTGGCCTTCTACACAAATCTGGCTGTCGCCTGATTAAGCTAGTTGTAATTACTGGCGAAACGTCGTACTCAGATTGTAAATGTGGCCGCTTGGCTCTCCAACACACAACCCGTGTTGATGTACTAGAGACGAATTGGCACGTTCTATTTACGTGACAAACCTTACTAATTCGCTGTGTCGGGTGGTGGCGTGTTTAACGACACATTAATACTTACGCGTTCTAACTAAAACAACCCCTCTATTATGGAGGAAGCTGATGAGCTACAAAGCTCAGTAGGGGCGGGTAAGAATGTCACAACAACAACAACAAACAATACAAAAACACGACAGTCGTTCAAAGTACGGAAAGGGAAAACAAAGTCTGCTCTAGCAGCGTAGAACGACCCGGGGAGGGGGGAGGGGAGAGGCAGTCCCGCTTGCTGTGCTGCCTCGGCTTTCTTGCTGGGGACATTTGGCAGGAAGAGTTTGGGGGCCCTGGAGTTCCTGCTCGGGGCTCTCCGGATCCCGGGAGAGCGACCCCCTTCACTCCCTCCCCACCCATACTCAGGGCACGACGACGTCAGCGCCTTACAGACACAAACCACGGGGGTGGGAACATAAACCACGGGGGGGGGGGGACACTCCCTTGCCTCGAGTCGCTGTACTCGCGACGCGACCCCCTCCTCCTCCTTGCGACGCGGCGCGCCCAGTGCCGGATTATATTTAGCGTAGTAGCACATGTAGCAGCAGCAGCTACACGTGTAGCTGCTACAACACGTGTAGTAGCAGCAGCTACACGTGTTGTAGCTGCTGCTACAACACGTGTAGTAGCAGCAGCTACACGTGTTGTAGCTGCTACAACACGTGTAGTAGCAGCAGCTACACGTGTTGTAGCAGCAGCTACACGTGTTGTAGCAGCTACTACACGTGTAGTAGCTTCGGGCCCTGCACTTTCAAGGGCACCGCGCTAAATGCTTTCAAGATATCAATTCCGGTTCAGTGATTCTGCACTTGCTCTATTACGATAGTACTACACTGCTTTCAACTTTTACGAACGACTGGGTGTTTAAGGTTCGCGATTTGTCGTATTATCTGGCTGTATAGCAAATGAGAAAATACAATAACTTTACTGTGCAAGTATAACATGTATGTGTTTTAATATTAACGTGTTTTTTTATTTAGGGCTCCTTAATAACATATGTTACAGGCCCCGCACTAGCTTAGTCCGGCACTGGGCGCGCCCGACACCAAACTGAGGCGTCTGGTGATCACATCTCACAGCGGCGGGAATGTCCACGTTCGTATGGCGAGGACGAGTCGACCCACGAGACAACTACCCAGAGACTCCCACCTCCCCACAAAGTGGTCACTCTCGTTATTGCCCTCGGCTGGAGAATCCGATCGGCGACGTCAGACAATGGTCTCTCCTGCTGTGCAGAAGGATCCTTGCCCGAAACATCACTTCCATGTATTGCAGACTAAGCATAGTAGCTAGTGTATTTATTTTACTCGCGCTCTCTCTCTCCCGCTGAGCTATGTAGCTCTTTTTCAGAAGCGACTTGGCCACAAGTGAAAGCTCAACGAAGTGGCTCATCACGTGGACATGTACAGCAGCCACGCGCATGTTTCTAGATGGGGAGAATCCGGAGAAAAATCTACGTAGCCATGCGGAGAGATACACAAATAAACAGCGGGCGTCAGGATCGAACCCACGACCTCCTGTAAACCAGGCGGGGAAGATCACATCTCGCTACTGTGGCGCCCTGATACGTGTGGCTCTTCAGGGCAGTGCTATCGCCGAACGTGGTGAGTTATTGTCAGCTGTACTCGTTCACCACTGTCCACGCAATGCCACCAAATAAAGCCTTTAACTTTATATGAATGTACGTTGAACTTCTTTCGCGCCGTACGTAGCCAAACGCGCTAATCGGAGGTGCGGGGGAGAGACAACAAACTAAACACCAACATCTGTTCTAAAGAAATGAGTATTCAATCTGGATTTAGAAGTGCAGTGGCTTCCTAACATCGGAAGGAAGAGCGTTCCAGACGGCCGCAGAAGCGCATCTGAAACTTTCCGTGCTGCGTGCGATGGCGTAAGCATTTAAGTCCAGCGCAACTCCCCCCCACCCCCAACCAAGAGCCCATTCCGAGTCGCAGCCTCAGTCGACACGGGCCGGCAATTCTCCCAGAGGAGGGAGAATTAAACAAATTCTGCCTCTCACGCCGACGTGCCGACTCCCCTGCTCTGGACGCCGCGTGTTTGCGTTTCGGGGCGTTAGCCCGCACCAACGCGCTCGTGTTAGCTCGGGCGAGTGAAAGGGTCCCTGTGTTTGTGAGTTCTGCCTAACCGGCTGCAGCTCACGGGTGGGAGGGCTCTCTCGCTCGCCACGCTCTCTCTGACACGCGAGCGAGAGAGTCCGATGCCGTCCACGTCAGCTGGGGAGGGGGGCCACAGTTCCTGTGCCCCGCGCGCGCGCGCCACTGCGGCTCGAGTCGTCGGAGCGGAGAGGCGCGTGAGAACGGGGCAGCTTCACCGCGAACGTCCAAGTGAGTTTCCTCTTCGGTCGACTGTCCTCACCGCCAGTTTCCTTGTTCCCAAAGCTAAAGTCAACCGACGGCGCGCCGCGAGCTCGCGTTTCGGGGGACAGCGAGGGGGAGAGAGCGTGATTTGATGGTGCTCTGTTATCACCGGCTTAGACGATTGTCAACTCTGACCCGACTTTTGTGTCTCTTGATCTCGAACTAAAGCACTCGGCAACCAACATCCAACTCGAGTTGAAGAGAGAAGAGATAGCGCGCGGGGAGAGCGTGATTGGCCGACTTTGTTGTTGTTGTTGTCGTCGGTTGTTCCCCCGACGTTAGACGAACGTCACTGGACGCGGCGCGTGGTCTCTTCTCGACGCGAGCGGACAGAGGAGGCGCGGCGCGATGGAGCGGGAGTCGACGGCGCCCGTGGTGCAGAGCCACATCAAGCTGGACGTCACGTACGAGGGGTCGGCCTCCGAGGTGCGCGACCTCGCGCTCAAACTCTACGCCCTCACCGTCCTCGACCCCCACACCACCCACTCCAGCATTGAGGTGAGGCGGTGCCCCCCCTCACTAACTCCTACCCCCATCCCCCCACTCACCACCGACCACTCCACCTCAAAGACGGAGGATGCCCCAGGGAGGAATCGTTGTCTCGCATTCCATGCGAAATGACCTCACAGTTGGAATGGACCAAACAGGATTCACCTTAAAACTAAATATATTGGGACTCCACGAGTATTTCCTGGCTAAATAAAGGGCATTGTTGAAGAATACGTTTTTTACATGCCATGCCAGACTAGTTGACTTGTCATTCCGGACTAGTTGACTTGCCATGCCGGACTAGTTGACTTGCCATGCCAGACTAGTTGACTTGCCATGCCAGACTAGTTGACTTGCCGTGCCGGACTAGTTGACTTGCCATGCCAGACTAGTTGACTTGTCATGCCGGACTAGTTGACTTGCCACTAGCAGGGTCTGGTTATCCTGAGGCTCGCACCGCTGATGAGGCAGAGCGCCCCTCTGGTTGGGAAGCTCCACCCCTACCTCAGACACTACAGTCAAACATTGATGAGACGACTGTTAATTGGTAATGGTTTAAATGTATCTGTAATTAACAACTTGGCGCAATCAAAATCGGGGCTAGAGAGTGTGTGGTGGGGGGTGTAAGCGAGACGTGTCCATAGCCCAAAGCTCCAGAGTCCCACGGGAAGAAATAAATGTTGTTGTTCGGGAAATGATCGCTGTTGAGTCATTGTTGTCCTTCCCCCGCACCTCTGATTAGCACGGTTGGCTACGTACGGCGCGAAAGAAGTTCAACAACATACACACATTGTATCGATTCCATGTGAACAATATAACCGCGTTAAAGGGGATGGTGCAGTGGTAACGCAGCAAGAACGACCCGGAATCGATTCGTGACTCGGGCACCTTTCTTGTGTGCAGTGTTCATGCTACCCCCCTGTTCAAATCGGGTTCCCTCCGGGTTCCTTGTT